TAGTAATTTCTCCTGAATGTTTGTTTTTCAGAACTGGCTGATTGTCAGAAGGAATTGAAAGCTGCGCGTGAGTATAAAGTCTACATATCTATAAACACGTTGGATGTGATGTATTTGTTGCCCTTTTTGTCAGGAAGTTCTTTGAACAATGTGTCGTATTTCTTTGAACGATCGTTGTGTTGGAAAACACATTCTTGAGCTCTGCCATGTTATCAAATCCACCACAATTTACATTTGGTTTTGTAGTTCAGGCCCTTTGCAAATCTAATATTCTGATCCTTTTTATTCCATTAGAAGAAAAAGCCTATGATAAACTAACACCAGAAGGTAGATTGGATGCTTTACATTACAATCCGTGGGCAACTAATATTTGGTTCCATTACAACTGGACATAACTGATTTGAATCAAAATGATTCAACAATCAAACATGAGGTCCTTTCATAAACATTTGTACATAATTATTTTTTCAGTAAAAAAATTGATCATGTTACAAGACGGTATGTATTGAGAAAAGTCCAACATTTCATAGATATTCAAAAGTTTTCTTTTATCTCCGATTACTGATCTTTTTACAGTTGAATCTATTTGAGATTAATTCAATACTTCAATGTTATGGAAGAATACACTTGCACAGTTTGTAGGGCTGCTAGTTTCTCGGTAACTCAAAGAATTATAATATGATTTCCAGAACGGAAAGCGTGTGAAATGACACTGGATAAATTAGGTGAGAAAGTGGTTGATATGTGTAAAGATACTAAGAAAAGAACATGTGCGGTGCGTACACTGTTCTTAACTGCAACCAATTCCATAGTTTGGCCGATATGTAAGGAAATAAGGACACGTTGTATTATCAACCTGCAGTTTGGTGACCAAGGCTTCACCACCTGCAAATAACTGTTTGACCAGTGAGAAATAATGTGAATATTTGTGTTGATTTGAGCAGAAAAGGCGAATATGAAGAAATTGAAAGGTAAATTCAAATGACTCCAATGTGCATTGTACCTGCACCCTACGTTGCTGTAAAATTTCAGGTTAAGTTTTCCAACTATTCTCAGTCATTTTATTGAAGTGGTAAAGACTCATAAGGAGAGTCCTGTAGCTTAGTCGTAAGAACACTCGTCTCACAAGCGAGTGGACCTGGGTTTGATTCTTGGAAGGGGGAAACGTTGGACAAGTTAGGAACACGGGTGTTAATCGATTGGCGGATCTCTTTTCTGGGGGTAATAATCCCATCAAATACTCATTATAATTTGGTCACTTAATCTGCGACTGATTGAGCAATTGGCTGCCACGTTCCGCCCACAAAACATACAGTCACTACACTTTACAGTATATTCTGTGAAGCGAATTGAAATGTGGGAAGACGTGATAAAGCGCTATATCAAATGCAAGATTTATTATTATTATTATAAAGCCGGAAGAATAAGAGTTGAAAGGTCTCGTTTGATGTTTCTTTTGATAGAATTTGGGAAAGTTGATGGGATCTTGGAAGAAAAAAGTGAGCAGAAACATAACTTGATTTTTCTTTTGAAAGAAAGAAAACGTTTTCCTTATAATCGTAGAATCATAGAATTATACAGCACAGAAGGAGGTCATTCGGCCCTTTGTGTCTGTGTCGGCTCTTTGAAAAGAGCTTCCAAATCAATCTCACTCCCCCACTTTCTCCCCATAGCCCTGCAAACTTGTCCTCCCCAAATAATTATCTACTTCTCTCTTAAAAGTTATTATCAAATCGCCTTCCAGCAGCCTTTCAGGCAATGTATTCCAGATCCAAACAACTCGCGGCGTGAAAAAAATTCTCCTCACCTCCCCTCTGTTTCTTTTAACAACTATTTTAAATCGGTGTCCTCGGGTTACCGACCAATCCGCCAGTGGAAATAGTTCCTCCTTGTTCACCCTATCAAATCCATTCATAATATTGAAAACTTCTATTAAGTCTCCTCTTAACTTTATCTGCTCCAATTGGAACAATCCCAGCTTCTCTAACCTCTCCTGACACCTGAAGTCAATCATTCTGGTAAATCGTCTTTGTACCCTCTCCAACGCCTTGACATCCTTCCTTCCAATGGTCCCAATACTGACCCCCGGGACACCACTGCACACTTCCCTCCAGTCAGAATGACAACCGTTCCCCACCGCTCTCTGTCTCCCGGACAGTTCTGTATCCATTGGAGACTGTCCCTTTAATACTGTGGGATTCTGCTTTGGTGACGAATCTCTTATGTGGCACTGTATCAAATGCCTTTTGAAAATCCATATAAACTTATCAACTGCACTACTTCATCCACACTCTCTGTTACTTGATTAAAAAAGCCTTATCAGGTTTATTAGACACAATTTGCCTTTAACAAATCCGTGTTGACTGTCCTTTATTAACCCATATTTTTCTAAGTGAAAATTTATTTTGTCCCGGATTATAGTCTCCAGAAGTTTCCCCACTGCTGAAATCAGGCACTGGCCTTAGTTCCCGGGTTTATCCTTCTGCTCCTTTGTGCTCAGGGGAGTAACATTTGCAACGCTCCAGTCCTGTAGCACCTCCCGGTGTCCAAGGAGGATTAAAAGATCTAAAGGCTTTGTTGCCAAAGCCTCTGTTATTTTCACCCTTACTTCCCTCAGTAACCTCGGATGCAACCCGTCCGGACCGAGTGACTTATCTACCTTGAGCACCAACAAACTATTTAGCGCCTCAGTGCCTCCTCTCAGTTTATTCTTATCTTATACAATTTCTCCACCCTCTCCTCCAATTCTGTGACATAGGCTTCATCCTCTTCTTTCGTGAAGACAGATGCAAAATACTCATTACTTACATCAGCCATGCCCTCTGCCTTCACAAGAAGATTTCCTATTTGGTCCCTAATTGGACCCACCCAACCTTTGACTAACCTGTTATTCTTTACATGCTTAAAAATACCTTTGGTTTCCCTTTCTGTTACCCATTTATCCTTTCTCATACAAGCACTTTGCCCCTCTTATTTCCTTTTTCAGTTCTCCTCTGTACTTTCTATATTCTATTTGATTATCTTCTGTATTTTGAACCTCCCATTTATCATAAGCCTTCTTATTCTGTTTTATTATATCCCAATTTCCTTATTCATCCGGGGAGGTTCGGATGGCCTACCTTTCCCCTTTGTGGAAATGTATTTGTTCTGTCTCTGAACTATCTCCTGCTTGAAGGCTTCCCATTGCTCGTTAGCTGTTTTACCTGCCAATCTTTCTTTCCAGCCCACCTTGGCTAGGACCCTTTTTAACCCACTGAAATTAGTCTCTTCCAGTTGAGTATCTTCACCTTTGATTGTTCCTTGAATGTTCCTTGTCCCTTTCCATAAATACTCTAAACCTATGGTCTATAGTACAGTCCTAACAGAGTAATGCGTTCTTTTTCTGCTCCTTTCGAACCAAGTAGAACCTGTTTTGGACCCTCAAGCACATCGGCCTTCTCCAGGGCCGTAACCATATCTTTTTTCAATATTGCCACCACCTTTTTTTTCTTTCCCTGTTCCTCCCAAATACGTTGAAGCCAGTAATATTCAGCTCGCATTCCTGCCCTTGTTTGAGCCAGGTCTCTGTTATTGCCACTGTTATGTAGCATAACCCCATGTGGCGACTTGAGCCGCAGCTCACCAATCGTATTTGTCACTCTCTGTGTATTTACCCACATTCACTCCCAAAACCGACTGAGTTTGCTTTGCATTTCTCTTCCGTCTAATGCCTTCTTCTTCTGGACTACTCCTTATTGCATTGTTATCCATCTATCCCACCCCTCTATGTAACTTTTCTCCTCTCTGATGTTACATCCTGATTTCCTTCCCCTTCAAAATTAGTTTAAACCCTTCCCCACAGCACTAATTAACCTCCCTGCCCGTTACATATAATTTAATTCTTTTGATGATATAAATCATGTACGTAACTAATCATTTATTTCAGTTTCCCCGTTCAAGGGTCATAGTTCGCTGTCTGTTAATTATTGTTTTCCCCAATAGAGAAGCTACTTACTGAAAGAGAAAAAGGTATTGCCATCCACTTGCTATCAGGTCTCACCAAATGGATCAATTTCAAGATCCTCTCACTCGTTTTCAAATCCCTTCAAGCCCTTGCACTTCCCGACCTCTCTGAACTGCTCGGCTGGCTCTGGCCTCCAGTTTGTCCCTGTGCCATCCACTCCACCACCGATAACCGTGACTTCAGCCACTGAGCCCTGAAGTTCTGGAAATCTCTCCCTCAATCCCTTCATCTTGCCACCACCCTCACTTGACAGTATATTGTGAAGCGCTTTGAGACGTCTCAAAGACGTTAAAAGCTCTATACCAAATGCAACAATTCTTATTATTTACTATTTCTCATTTCTTTGTGTGACATGATCACCTGAAACGTGGCCAGTTGTTTCCTTTCTCGACCAGCTGTAAAATTGAGCAACACACGCTGTTTTACAGAGATTGATATGAAGTGCAGAACAAAATAGTTTACTTTCAATTTCATGTGCTCTGCAGAACAAACCTCTTGCCAAGCAAGGCTGAACGCTGCGAGTAAGAAATCAGCTTTTACAATACAATCAATTTGAATAGCGCCTTTCACATCGGGGGGACATCCCAAGGTACTGGACATTCAGTGATTGGGACCTGGGGCTTTGGAATCAGTGAGGGTGGAGGGCAGGTCAGGCAGGAGGCGGCCGAAGGCGAGGTCAAATAGTATCATCTTGAGACATGCCTTGAAGAAGTCAAGGGAGGGAGTGAGGCAAAGAGAATATGGGATGGAGATCCAGAGTGTGGGGGCAGAGAGCCTGAATGCCCGACTGCTGATGGTGGGGTGGGCCGGGCGGGTAACGTGGAGCAGGACAGAGCCGGCTGAGCGGAAGGAGCGGGCAGTTGGATATTGGCAAAGGTTTTATTGTTAGAAGTGACAAATTTTTCTTGTTTGCCATCTTGGCCATTTGAGGCTCACTTTGTGTTTTGATGCTGATGAAAACAATTTGAAAATATACTGAGAAATCTGACTCCAACAGAAGAAGGAAAAGAACCAGACCAAGCAGATGAAGCCAAACCAAGAGAGGAAAAGAAACCGGTGGATGTAAAGAAGAAAGGTAGTTACTTTCTTGGTTGTAAGTTTTACGATATTGGTCAGTTATTTCCCACCTCCAGGGTACATTCAGTTCCATTCAACATACATTTATTTGGGTTCCCATTTCTATGTGTGTTGTGATGCTCTTCTCCTGGGTTTGGCGCTGACTGTGAAAAAGCAAAATATTGGACATTGCAAAACAGCAGTGACTGAATGACACAAATGCTTCAGAGATTTGTTGTCAATTTTCCAGAAGATGATGAGCTTGAAGAAAAAATCACTGCCCTAAGTAAGAATATTTTTTTATTTAAAAACAAGATGTTAGGGTGTTTGTAACCTTCTTCTGTGTCACTGTAGATTATTCTGCTTTTCTCTTCACTGAGAATCAAAGTTTCCGAGTGTTTAACCTACTGGTAAATCTGTATAAGTCACCGGTTGGAAATATTCAAGAAACTGCTTTTATAGGCAGTTAATTACTGAGATAATTGGCAGTTTTAACTATTGGATCCTGAGCATAGTAAACTCATGTTGTAACTCTTCAGCAATTAACATCTGTCACAGTACCTCATCGCACAAATACTGTCCCACTTTACAGATTGTTGTGTTGCCACTCAATATGTATTCAAAACCCAATATGTGTTTACCCACTATTTCTTATATAGAAGAGGATATTAAGGAAATAGAAAAAGGTAAATACTGAATCGATTTGAGACTTTGCATGAAATTCATCAGTTACATCTATGACTGAGCTTCTGTATCTTTTGCTGTAAAGGTACCACTTCTATTGAAATATTTTATATTCTCATGCTCGTGGGAGAGTAAGAAGAAGAGGTTTAACGCAACACGAGTAACAGTGAATATACGCCCCAATTTATATAGTTTTTGATGTGTGGATATTTGTTATGTCACCTCAACCTCTTTCATAGTGTGTGTGCATTGGGATTTCAAGTGTTGATGATTCTTGTGAATGTGATGTGTTCCTCTTACTGTGTTGGAAAGGAAGCGGCAGCCGTAGGTTGGAGTTTGGTTCTCCCCAAGCAAGAGAATCATTCACTGTTGAAATAAAAATACCTCATAAATGTTTTGTTTGCTTTTCAGAAATAGAAGAGTGTAAACAGCTCACAGTCCTGGCAGGTGAGTCTGATGTCCAGAAAGCCTTGTGAAATGGGTCATGTCAACATCCTTGTTGTGAGTCGAGTCTATCCTTTCCCAAGTGCAGCGCCCAGCACATAATACCAAACTGCAAACACTTCTTAACTTCTCACCCTTTCACCTTTCCTCACTGTGTTTTCTTGTATTATTAGTTACATGAGGTCGTCACTTGGTCGTTCTGTTTCTTTCGGCTTCTTTTCTGGCTGCCCGGCTCAAGGGAGCAAAGTCAGCAACAGGCAATGAGTGTATTCTCACGCAGTGCTTAATGGATTCTTTGCTTGGACTTTAGAGCAAGAGGTTGTTGCAGAGGACGAGGACACAGCAAGTAAGCCCAGATTATTTATGTTAAATGTTCAGGCGGAATTTTGTTTGTTAGTGTCCGAGCTGTTGTATCAAACTCACATTTATGGCTGAGTTTTGTAAAACACTATCCGACCACATCTTTGTGAAACGATTGAGTAATAATTAGGAGAAACTCCCAAAGTTCCCATTGAAGTATTCGCTCAATCTAAACTAATGTTTTGGCTTTTCAAAAATAGAATTAAAAACAGAAAGTGCAGGGACAGGTGAGCTTTAACATTTGATCAACATCACATTTTTTGGCTTCTGTTGCTTTGATCTGAATATTTTTCTTGTGAGAAGACACGATTACGGTTGTGCTCTGATCAGTTCTTGTTTCACAGCGTCTCTCCTCACATATATCCTCAGATACATTAGTTTGCGAGGAATCAGTTGGATCACACTGGGTTGTTGTGCTCAAATGTGTCATTGTTTGTGTTGGGGTCGGGGTGTCAGTGGCTTCATGATGTGATGATGGTTGTGAGTTTCTATCTGAAATACTAATACAGTGGGAGAAGAGTTGTCCCCAATTCATGACACTATTGTGTTATGTAACAAAAAAATCACTCTGTTTTTCAGAACTGGAAGAGTGTAAAACAAAACTAAAGGAAGCAGGTAGGGAAGAGGTTTCTGAGTTTAAATAATCAAATAATATTCTTCCTGCGGATTATACAATTGATATCGACAGGAAAATATACATAAGTGTGAATTTTAATAGAAGTTTTTTGCTTACAGAGGATGTTAAAATTAAACAAACTGCGGGTAAATGTTTACATCGGATCTGGAATGCATTGCCTGAAAGAGCGGTGGAAGACTATTCAATACCGACTTTTAAGAGTGAAGTGGATAATTATTTGGGGAGGACAAGTTTGCAGGGATATCGGGAGAGAGAGGGATTGATTTGGAAGCTCTTTTAAAGGAGCCGGCACAGACAGGATGGGCTGAATGGCCTCCTTCTGTGCTGTATAATTCTGTGATTCTATGAGTCTGGGATCATAGAATCATCGCAAGGTGTCCTGTAGCTCAGCGGATGGAGCACTCGACTCACTCGACCTGGATTTGATTCCCGGCATTGCGAGACCTTGGGCAAGTTTCCTTACTCCACACACCTGATAATAATCCATCAGAAGAAAAAACAATAATAAAAAAAGGGTCACTTCAACCCTCGAATGTCTGTAGGGACACTGCTGTGCGCAATTGGTTGCAATTCACTTTAGAGTAAGATCTGTGAAGTGCTTTTTGACTTCTAGAAGATGTGAAATGCTGCGCTATATCCTGTGGAGTCCTGCAGCTCAGTGGTTAGAGCACTCGCTTTGCAAGCGAGAGAACTGAGTTCAATTCCAGGCAGAGGGCGAAACCTTGGGCAAGTTTCCTTACTCCACACAGAGCCTAATAATAATCCCTCCAAAACAAAACAATAATAAATCGGTCATTTTCAATCTACGACTGTTTGTGGGACATTGTTGTGCGCAATTGGCTGCTGCGTTCGCCCACAAATATACAGTCAATTCACTTTACAGTGTGTTCTGTGAAGCGCTTTGGGACGTCCTCCCTACGTGAAAAGCGCTATATCAAATGCAAGGATTATTATTATATTATATCAAATATAGGAATATTAATATCATCACAGTATGAATGTTATTTCACATGTTCGAAATAATAAAGGGAATACACATACACTCACAGATATACAAAATAATACCCTCACAAACAAAAGAGGGAAAAGCATTTACCCGATAAAAGGGAGGTTATGCACAAGGATGAATAGATGAAGAAATTTCTTTTTTGTTTTAGAATTAGAGGAAGCAAAACAAAGCTTGAAAACTACAGGTGATGAAAATAATGATTGTGTTACTTATTTAAACAAATCATATTTTATTGATATATTAATATATAATATATAACGTGCAGATCATATCACAACGAAGCGAATCAGTTTTACTAATGAAGATAGCTGAATTTTGTTTTTCTTGGCACTCTGTTTTATTTTAAACCTTGTAAGTTTATTCCCATACCAAAATATCAAAATAATACAAGTGAGAAATTGTATAAAAACCCTAAATTACGTCTTGAGATGATGATATGATTATATTACGCAAAGCATTTCAATACCCACTAATTCTTGTTTTCCTCAACAGAGGACTCAATTGAAAAGAAAGATAAAGGTATTTACGTTGATCTGAGAGGAGATTTGTCAAACGTTTGATCACTGATATCCATTACAATCTCTCGGTTCCTCTTTCGATGTCAGACTCCCTTCATTAAAGGCACCGAAAGGGTGGTTCGTGGATCGTCCTCTCCTTGTGTTTGTCCTCCTTCGGAGAGGCAGTCGATAACACAATCTGAAGCCACCTGTCGATTGATTGAGACAAATTTGCTTCATCAAATGTTCTTTTTCAGAAAGAGACACTTGTGAAGAAGAGATAAAAGCAGCAAGTAAGAACATATAATTCATTTGAAGATTTGGAGAAGGATTTTTTCTTGTTTGCTGCTCACGATGTGAAAATTGGTGAAAATAGATCAAGCTTATTTATGTCGATTAATTTGAGTAATTTACTTTAAGAAGGATAACAAGACGTATATCACAATGGATAATCAAAGTTGAGCAAACATCGGGAAATGGTTTGGTTGTTTATTATTGAAGAATAAACAGGAATGTGCGAAGGGCAATCCTCATTCTGTTACTAAAATTGTTTCCCGATCTTCTCGGGTTCTAAATCAGTTGAAAATTGCTGAATCCCAATTGACCATAAACCGGTTGAAATAAAAATGTTTAACCAATTCACTTTTTGGATTTCAGAACTAACCAAATGTCAGATGGATCTAAAAGCAGCAGAAAAAGGTTGGAAACTTGGCAATGTCCATGTTTTCTATTCGAATTAATTTCAAGAATGAGTGCCATTGCTATTGGAACAGTAATAATCTCTCCAAAACCAAAAACAATAATAAATTGGTCATTTTCAATCTACGACTGTTTGTGGGACATTGCTGTGCGCTATTGGCTGCTGCGTTCGCCCACAAATATACAGTCAATTCACTTTACAGTGTGTTCTGTGAAGCGCTTTGGGACGTCCTCCCGACGTGAAAAGCACTATATCAAATGCAAGGATTATTATTAACAGCCACAGTGCACTGTTTCCGATTGATTATTATTATGTTAGTAAAGAGGGAAAGTGATACCGTTTCAATTGATATATCTTCCAGGATACAAGTAAAACAGCGCTAAGTTACCAATTGTTAAAACTGGTTCCAATAAAAGTGTTGCATAAATTTCCGTTTTGTTTCAAGAACTAAAAGAGTTGAAAGAAAGGCTGAAGAAAGGCAGTAAGCAAAATTATTGTATTGTTGAAATTTGTAAAATTGGCTGCATATTGATGCAATAATGATAAATCTTTGCTGACCAGGAATCTTGGAGAAAATCCCTTCTCTTTCTGACAAATAAAACAGCAAAAATCCTCCAGTTAAATTACTCAATAGCATTATGGATGTTGGATATTGCTGCGCAGTCTATGCCTTTAAATGGCCGTGAATAATTCCATGTGAGGTGCTTTGAGAGGGTTTCTCTTTCGGTGCTGAATCAAATGCAAGATTTGATGACGTAATAATTAATGGATTCCATGTTTGATTTGTAGACGACAATAATGTGAAAGCTTTAGGTAAGGACAACATTTATATTAATTTAACTCTTTGGAATGCAAGTTTTCATCAGATTGAAAGTTGTTATTTGTTGCCATTTCCACACTGAGATACTATTATTGTGAATATAACCTGAAACATCTCCGGCTGTGCTACACCATTCTCACAACCTCCCGCGCTTTGTAGATTGTTTTGAAGGGAAGCATTTCATCAGTAATCCTTTAAGCTTAATCAATTTTACAGAAGAGGATCTGGAGAAGAAGAAAGCAGGTAGATTATGAGGAGCTGTTGTTATAATATGATCCAATTGTTATTTTGCTGATGTATTGTTTTACTTGTGGTACAGTTTAATAGATATCAATGCAATAGATTGTAAATAAAGGTTTAATTTTGTTTCTGTTATTGTGATATAGTAAAGTCTCCTGATCTTTGTTTTTCAGATCTGGCTGATTGTCAGAAAGAATTGAAAGCTGCGCGTGAGTATAAAGTCTACATATCTATACACACGTTGGATGTGATGTATTTGTTGCCCTTTTTGTCAGGAAGTTCCTTGAACAATGTGTTGTATTTCTTTGAACGATCGTCGTGTTGGAAAACACATTCTTGAGCTCTGCCATGTTATCAAATCCACTATAATGTACATTTGGTTTTGTAGTTCAGGCCCTTTGCAAATCTGATATTCTGATCGTTTTTATTCCATTAGAAGAAAAAGCCTATGATAAACTAACACCAGAAGGTAGATTGGATGCTTTACATTACAATCCGTGGGCAACTAATATTTGATTATTTTACAAGTGAACATAATTGATATGAGTTGAATTAATTCAACAATCAAACATAAGGTCCTTTCATATACATCTGTACATAATTATGTTTACAGTGAAAAAACTGATCATGTTACAAGACGGTATGTATTGAGAAAAGCCCAACATTTCATAGATATTCAAACGTTTTCTTTTATCTTCGATTACTGCTCTTGTTGCAGTTCAATCTATTTGAGATTAATTTAACACTGCAATATAATGGAAGAATACACTTGCACAGTTTGTAGGGCTGCTAGTTTCTCGGTAACTCAAAGAATTATAATGTGATTTCCAGAACGGAAAGCGTGTGAAATGACACTGGATAAATTAGGTGAGAAAGTGGTTGATATGTGTAAAGATACTAATAAAAGAACATGTTCGATGCGTACACTGTTCTTAACTGCAACCAATTCCATAGTTTGGCCGATATGTAAGGAAATAGGGACACGTTGTATTATCAACCTGCAGTTTGGTGACCAAGGCTTCACCACCTGCAAATGACCGTTTGACCAGTGAGAAATAATGTGAATATTTGTGTTTATTTGAGCAGAAAAGGCGAATATGAAGAAATTGAAAGGTAAATTCAAATGACTCCAATGTGCATTGTACCTGCACCCTACGTTGCTGTAAAATTTCAGGTTAAGTTTTCCAACTATTCTCAGTCATTTTATTGAAGTGGTAAAGACTCATAAGGAGAGTCCTGTAGCTTAGTCGTAAGAACACTCGTCTCACAAGCGAGTGGACCTGGGTTTGATTCTTGGAAGGGAGAAATGTTGGACAAGTTAGGAACACGGGTGTTAATCGATTGGTGGATCTCTATTCTGGGGGTAATAATCCCATCAAAATACTCATAATAATTTGTTGACTTAATCTGCGACTGACTGAGCAATTAGTTGCCACGTGATAAGGCGCTATATCAAATGCAAGATTTATTATTATTATTATAAAGCCGGAAGAATAAGAGTTGAAAGGTCTCGTTTTGCGTTTCTTTTGATAGAATTTAGGAAAGTTGATGGGTACTTGGAAGAAAAAAGTGAGCAGAAAACATATCTTGCTTTGCATTTCTCTTCCGTCTAATGCCTTCTTCTTCTGGACTACTCCTTATTGCATTGTTATTTGTCTCTCCCACCCCTCTATGTAACGTTTCTCCTCTCTGATGTTACATCCTGATTTCCTTCACCCTCGAAATTAGTTTAAACCCTTCCCCACAGCACTAATTAACCTCCCTGATCATTACATATCATTTAATTATTTTGATGATATAAATCATGTACGTAACTAATCATTTATTTCAGTCTTCCCGTTCAAGGGTCATAATTCGCTGTCCGTTAATTATTGTTTTCCCCAATAGAGAAACTACTTACTGAAAGAGAAAAAGGTATTGCCATCCACTTGGTATCAGGTCTCACCTTTCAGATGGATTTCAGGACCCTCTCACACGGTTGGAAATCCCTTCAGTCCCTCGCACCTCCGTACCTATCCAATCTGCACTACCCCACCCCACCACACGCCGCCTCCACTCGACTGGCTCCGTCCCCCACACTCCACCATCGGTGGTCGTGCATTCAGCCACTATGCCCCGAAACTCTGGAACTCCCTCCCTCAATCCCTTCCCCTTGACACTCCCTCCCTACATTCAAATCACGGCTAATGGCCTTTTTTTTGATCGTGCTTACAATCAACTGCCTCCTCCGACCGTGCTGATTGTCAGACTCCGCCACTGTGAAGCACTCTGGAATGCTACTTTGCATGAAGGGCGCTATATAAATCCAAGTTGTTGTTGTCATGGAGTCCTATAGCTCAGTGGTTCTGGGATTCGCCTCACAAGCAAGAGAGCTGGGTTTGATTCCCGACAGGGTGAAATCTTGGGCAAGTTTCCTTATTCCACACGCCTGATAATAATCCGTCAAGAAAATAAAACAATAATAAATTAGTCGTTTCCAACCACGACTTTCTGTGGGACACTGCTGTGCGCAATTTGCTGCTGCATATCGCAACCAAATATACAGTCAATTCACTTGACATTATATTTTGAAGCGCTTTGAGACGTCTCGAAGACGTGAAAAGCTCTATATCAAATGCAACAATTCTTATTATTTACTATTTCTCATTTGCTTTGTGTGACATGATCACCTGAAACGTGGCCAGTTGTTTCCTTTCTCGACCAGCTGTAAAATTGAACAACACACGCTGTTTTGCAGAGATTGATATGAAGTGCAGAACAAAATAGTTTACTTTCAATTTTATGTGCTCTGCAGAACAAACCTCTTGCCAAGCAAGGCTGAACGCTGCGAGTAAGAAATCAGCTTTTACAATACAATCAATTTGAATAGCGCCTTTCACATCGGGGGGACATCCCAAGGCACTGGACATTCAGTGATTGGGACCTGGGGCTTTGGAATCAGTGAGAGTGGAGGGCAGGTCAGGCAGGAGGCGGCCGAAGGCGAGGTCAAATAGTATCATCTTGAGACATGCCTTGAAGAAGCCAAGGGAGGGAGTGAGGCAAAGAGAATATGGGATGGAGATCCAGAGGGTGGGGGCAGAGAGCCTGAATGCCCGACGGCTGATGGTGGGGTGGGCCGGGCGGGTGACGTGGAGCAGGACAGAGCCGGCTGAGCGGAAGGAACGGGCAGTTGGATATTGGCAAAGATTTTATTGTTAGAAGTCCCAATTTTTCTTGTTTGCCATCTTGGCCATTTGAGGCTCACTTTGTGTTTTGATGCTGATGAAAACAATTTGAAAATATACTGAGAAATCTCACTCCAACAGAAGAAGGAAAAGAACCAGACCAAGCAGATGAAGCCAAACCAAGAGAGGAAAAGAAACCGGTGGATGTAAAGAAGAAAGGTAGTTACTTTCTTGGTTGTAACTTTTACTATATTGGTCAGTTATTTCCCACCTCCGGGGTACATTTCAGTTCCATTCAACATACATTTATTTGGGTTCCCATTTCTATGTGTGTTGTGATGCTTCTCTCCTGGGTTTGGCACTGACTGTGAAAAAGCTAAATATTGGACGTTACAAAACAGCAATGACTGAATGACACAAATGCTTCAGAGATTCCTTGTCAATTTTCTAGAAGATGATGCGCTTGAAGAAAAAATCACTGCCCTAAGTAAGAATATTTTTTTATTGAAAAACAAGATGTTTGGGTGTTTGTAACCTTCTTCTGTGTCACTGTAGATTATTCTGCTTTTCTCTTCACTGAGAATCGAAATTTCCGAGTGTTTAACCTTCTGGTAAATCTGTATAAGTCACTGGTTGGAAATATTCAAGAAACTGCTTTTATAGACAGTTGATTACTGAGATAATTGGCAGTTTTAACTATTGGATCCTGAGCATAGTAAACTCATGTTGTAACTCTTCAGGAATTAACATCTGTCACAGTACCTCATCGCACAAATACTATCCCACTTTACAGATTGTTGTGTTGCCACTCAATATGTATTCAAAACCCAATACGTGTTTACCCACTATTTCTTATGTAGAAGAGGATATTAAGGAAATAGAAAAAGGTAAATACTGAATCGATTTGAGACTTTGCATGAAATTTATCAGTTACATCTATGACTGAGCTTCTGTATCTTTTGCTGTAAAGGTACCACTTCTATAGAAATATTTTATATTCTCATGCTCGTGGGAGAGTAACAAGAAGAGGTTTAACGCAACACGAGTAACAGTGAATATAAGCCTCAATTTATATAGTTTTTGATGTGTGGATATTTGTTATGTAACCTCAACCTCTTTCATCGTGTGTGTGCATTGGGATTTCAAGTGTTGATGATTCTTGTGAATGTGATGTGTTCCTCTTACTGTGTTGGGAAGGAAACGGCAGCCGTAGGTTGGAGTTTGGTTCTCCCCAAGCAAGAGAATCATTCACTGTTGGAATAAAAATACCTCATAAATATTTTGTTTGCTTTTCAGAAATAGAAGAGTGTAAAAAGCTCACAGTCCTGGCAGGTGAGACTGATGTCCAGAAAGCCTTGTGAAATGGGTCATGTCAACATCCTTGTTGTGAGTCGAGTCTATCCTTTCCCAAGTGCAGCGCCCAGCACATAATACCAAACTGCAAACACTTCTTAACTTCTCACCCTTTCACCTTTCCTCACTGTGTTTTCTTGTATTATTAGTTACATGAGGTCGTCACTTGGTGGTTCTGTTTCTCTCGGCTTCTTTTCTGGCTGCCCGGCTCAAGGGAGCAAAGTCAGCAACAGGCAATGAGTGTATTCTCACGCAGTGCTTAATGGATTCTTTGCTTGGGCTTTAGAGCAAGAGGTTGTTGCAGAGGACGAGGACACAGCAAGTAAGCCCAGATTATTTGTGTTAAATGTTCAGGTGGAGTTTTGTTTGTTAGTGTCCGAGCTGTTGTATCAAACTCACATTTATGGCTGAGTTTTGTAAAACACTATCCGACCACATCTTTGTGAAGCAATTGAGTAATAATTAGGAGAAACTCCCAAAGTATCTACATTTCCCATTGAAGAAATCCTTCAATCTAAATTCATTTTATGTCTTTTCAAAATAGAATTAAAAACAGAAAGTGCAGGGACAGGTGAGCTTTAACATTTGATCAACATCACATTCTTTGGCTTCTGTTGCTTTGACCTGAATATTTTTCTTGTGAGAAGACACGATTACGGTTCTGCTCTGATCAGTTCTTGTTTCACAACGTCTCTCCTCACATATATCCTCAGATACATCAGTTTGCGAGGAATCAGTTGGATCACACTGTGTTGTTGTTCTCAAATGTGTCATTGTTTGTGTTGGGGTCGGGGTGTCAGTGGCTTCATGTTGTGATGATGGTTGTGAGTTTCTATCTGAAATACTAATACAGTGGGAGAAGAGTTGTCCCCAATTCATGACACTATTTCGTTACATAAGAAAAAAATTACTATGTTTTTCAGAACTGGAAGAGTGTAAAACGAAACTAAAGGAAGCAGGTAGGGAAGAGGTTTCTGAGTTTAAATAATGAAATGATATTTTTCTTGCTGATTATACAATTGATACCGACTGGAAAATATACATAAGTGTGAATTTTAATAGTAGTTTTTTGCTTACAGAGGATCTTAAAATTAAACAAACTGCGGGTAAATGTTCACATCAGATCTGGAATACATTGTCTGAAAGGGCGGTGGAAGACTATTCAATCACGACTTTTAAGAGTGAAGTGGATAATTTTTTAGGGAGGACAAGTTTGCAGGGATATCGGGAGAGAGAGGGTAGTGGGATTGATTTGGAATCTCTTTTAAAGGAGCCGGCACAGACAGGATGGGCTGAATGGCCTCCTTCTGTGCTGTATATTTCTGTGATTCTATGAGTCTGGGATCATAGAATCATCGCAAGGTGTCCTGTAGCTCAGTGGATAGAGCACTTGACTCACTCGACCTGGATTTGATTCCCGGCATTGCGAGACCTTGGGCAAGTTTCCTTACTCCACACACCTGATAATAATCCATCAGAAGAAAAAACAATAATAAAAAAAAAGGTCACTTTAACCCTCGAATATTTATGGTGACACTGCTGTGCGCAATTGGTTGCAATTCACTTTACAGTATGTTCTGTGAAGCGCTTTTTGACTTCTAGAAGATGTGAAATGCGCTATATGAAATATAGGAATATTAATATCATCACAGTATGAATGTTATTTTACATGTTTGAAATAATAAAAGGAATTTAGACCTCTTGATAGTTGAAAAATATTTTTGTTGAAACTATGTTTTGGGTAAGACGTACTAATTTTAGATCACAAATATGGACACAAATGAACAGTTGATAAAGGAATACAGCAAAATATACACAGACCAACAGAGAGACGGATAAACACATACACTCACAGATATACGAAATAACACCCTCACAAACAAAAGAAGGAAAAGCATTTACCCGATAAAAGGGAGGTTATGCACAAGGATGAATAGCTGAAGAAATTTCTTTTTTTTTTAGAATTAGAGGAAGCAAAACAAAGCTTGAAAACTACAGGTGATGAAAATAATGATTGTGTTTTTTTATTCAAACAAATCACATTTTATTGATTGATTAACATTAATATATAATATATAACGTGCAGATCATATCACAATGTAAGTGAATCGGTTTTACCAATGAAGACAGCTGAATTTTGCTTTTCTTGGCACTCCCCTTTACTTTAAACCTTGTAAGTTTATTCCCATACCAAAATATCAAAATAATACAAGTGAGAAATTGTATAAAAACCCTAAATTACATCTTGAGATGTTGATCATATTACGCAAAGCATTTGAATTCCCACTAATTCTTGTTTTCCTCAACAGAGGAATCAATTGATAAGAAAGATAAAGGTAATTACATTGATCTGAGAGAGGAGATTTGTCAAACGTTTGATCACTGATATCCATTACAATCTCTCGGTTCCTCTTTCGGTATCAGACTCCCTTCATTGAAGGCACCAAATGGGTTGTTCGTGGATCGTCCTCTCCTTGTGTTTGTCCTCCTTCGGAGAGGCAGTCGATAACACAATCTGAAGCCATCTGTCGATTGATTTAGACAAATTTGCTTCATCAAATGTTCTTTTTCAGAAAGAGACACTTGTGAAGAAGAGATAAAAGCAGCAAGTAAGAATATATAATTCATTTAAAGATTTGGAGAAGGATCTTATCTTGTTTGCTGCTCACGATGTGAAAATTGGTGAAAATAGATCAAGCTTATTTATGTCGAGTAATTTAAGAAGGATAACAAGACATATTTTACAATGGATGATCAAAGTAGAGCAAACATCGGGAAATGATTTGGTTGTTTATTATGGAAGAATAAACAGGAATGTGCGAAGGGCAATCTTCATTCTATTACTAAAATTCTCTCCAGATTAATCTTCTCTGGTTCTACATCAGTTGAAAATTGCTGAATCCAAAATTGACCATTAACCGGTTGAAATAAAAATATTTAACCAATTCACTTTTTGGATTTCAGAACTAACCAAATGTCAGACGGATCTAAAAGCAGCAGAAAAAGGTTGGAAACTTGGCAATGTCCATGTTTTCTTTTCTATTTAATTTCAAGAATGAGTGCCATTGCTATTGGAACAGCAATAATCTCTCCAAAACCAAAACCAATAATAAATTGGTCATTTTCAATCTACGACTGTTTGTGGGACATTGCTGTGCGCTATTGGCTGCCGCGTTCGCCGACAAATATACAGTCAATTCACTTTACAGTGTGTTCTGTGAAGCGCTTTGGGACGTCGTCCTGACATGAAAAGCACTATATCAAATGCAAGGATTATTATTAACAGCCATAGTGCACTGTTTCCGATTGATTATTATTATGTTAGTAAAGAGGAAAAGTGATACCGTTTCAATTGATATATCTTCCAGGATACAAGTAAAACAGCGCTAAGTTACCAATTGTTAAAACTGATTCCAATAAAAGTGTTGCATAAATTTCTGTTTTGTTTCAAGAACTAAAAGAGTTGAAAGAAAGGCTGAAGAAAGGCAGTAAGCAAAATTATTGTATTGTTGAAATTTGTAAAATTGGCTGCATATTGATGCAATAATGATAAATCTTTGCTGACCAGGAATCTTGGAGAAAATCGCTTCTTTCTGACAAATAAAACAGCAAAAATCCTCCAGTTAAATTACTCAATAGCATTATGGATGTTGGATATTGCTGCGCAGTCTATGCCTTTAAATGGCCGTGAATAATTCCATGTGAGGTGCTTTGAGAGTGTTTCTCTTTCGGTGCTGAATCAAATGCAAGATTTGATGACGTAATAATTAATGGATTCCATGTTTGATTTGTAGACGACAAAAATATAAAAGCTTTAGGTAAGGACAACATTTATATTTAGGTAACTCTTTGGAATGCAAGTTTTCATCAGATTGAAAGTTGTTCTTTATTGCCATTTCCACACTGAAAATAACAACCTCTGAATTTTAAAATGCTTATAACTCTGTATATTGAACCCTTTTAAAAGTTTGCAAATCCAACACACGCACAGATGGCAAATCGGCAGATAATTGTGTATTTACTTTCCTCTGATATACTATTATTGTGAATGTAACCTGAAACATCTCCGTCTGTGCTACACCATTCTCACAACCTCCCGCGCTTTGTAGGTTGTTTTGAAGGGAAGCATTTCATCAGTAATCCTTTAAGCTTGATCAATTTTACAGAAGAGGTTCTGGAGAAGAAGAAAGCAGGTAGATTATGAGGAGCTGTTGTTATAATATGATCCAATTGGTATTTTGCTGATGTATTGTTTTACTTGTGGTACAGTTTAATAGATATTAGTGCAATAGCATTGTAAATAAAGCTTTAATTGTGTTTCTCTTATTGTGATATAGTAATTTCTCCTGAATGTTTGTTTTTCAGAACTGGCTGATTGTCAGAAAGAATTGAAAGCTGCGCGTGAGTATAAAGTCTACATATCTATACACACGTTGGATGTGATGTATTTGTTGCCCTTATGATCAGAAGTTCCTTGAACAATGTGTTGTATTTCTTTGAACGATCGTTGTGTTGGAAAACATATTCTTGAGCTCTGCCATGTTATCAAATCCGCCACAATTTACATTTGGTTTTGTAGTTCAGGCCCTTTGCAAATCAGATATTCTGATCCTTTTTATTCCATTAGAAGAAACAGCCTATGATAAACTAACACCAGAAGGTAGATTGGATGCTTTACATTACGATCCGTGGGAACTAATATTTGATTATTTTACAAGTGAACATAATTGATGTGAGTTGAATTAATTCAAAATCAATTAATCAAAAATTATGCCTTTTCATATATATTTGTACATAATTATTTTTACAGTGAAAAAACTGATCATGTTACAAGACGGTATGTATTGAGAAAAGATCAAGATTTCATAGATTTTCAGAATTTTTTTATCTTCAATTACTGTTCTTTTTGCAGTTTAATCTATTTGAGATTAATTTAATACTGCAATTTTATGGAAGAATACACTTGCACAGTTTGTAGGGCTGCTAGTTTTCCATTAACACAAAGAATTATAATGTGATTTCCAGAACGGAAAGCGTGTGAAATGACACTGGATAAATTAGGTGAGAAAGTGGTTGATATGTGTAAAGATACTAAGAAAAGAACATGTGCGGTGCATACACTGTTCTTAACTGCAGCCGATTACATAGTTTGGCCGATATGTAAGGAAATAAGGACATGTTGTATTATCAACCTGCAGTTTGGTGACCAAGGCTTCACCACCTGCAAATGACTGTTTGACCAGTGAGAAATAATGTGAATATTTGTGTTGATTTGAGCAGAAAAGGCGAACAGGAAGAAGTTCAAAGGTAAATTCCAATGATCCCAATTTGTATTGTACCTGCACCCTACGTTGCTATAAAGTTCCAGTATATATTTTAGAAACTATTCTCAGATACTTCATTGATGTGGTAAAGACACATATGTATTGATCTGTAGCTTTGTTGTAAGAGCACTCACCTCACCAGTGAGAGGACCTCAGTTTGATTCCCGTCAGGGCGAAACTTTGGGCAAGTTTCCGTTCTACATACGCCTTTGTTTACCTAGCAGTAAGTAGGAACATATTTGTTACTCGATTGGCATGTCACTTTTCCTTGGGTAATAATCCTTTCAAAATAATAATAATATTAATAATTTGGTCACTCAATCCACGACTGTTTGTGGGACGCTGCTGTGTGGAATTGGCTGCCGCTTCGCCCCAAAATATACAGTCAATTCACTTTACATTATATACTGTGAAGCACTTTGAGTTGTCTGAAAGATATGCTTTGGCGCTATACAAATGCAAGATTTATTATTATTGTTATTGTTTATGTAGCCAGAAGAATAAGTGTTGATAAGTCTCCTTTTGCTTGTCTGTTGTTAGAATTTTTGATGTTTGATGACATCTTGGAAGAAAAAGGTGAAGAAAAAACATAACTTGGTTTTCTTTTCCAAGAAAGAGAACAATTCCCCTCATCATTATGTATAATTTAATTCTGTTTATGATATAAATGATGTACGTAACTAATCATTTATTTCAGTTTTCCCGTTCAAGGGTCATAGTTCGCTGTCTGTTAATTATTGTTTTCCCCAATAGAGAAGCTACTTACTGAAAGAGAAAAAGGTATTGCCATCCACTTGCTATCAGGTCTCACCAAATGGATCAATTTCAAGATCCTTTCACTCGTTATCAAATCCCTTCAAGCCCTTGCACTTCCCGACCTCTCCGAACTGCTCGGCTGGCTCTGGCCTCCAGTTTGTCCCTGTGCCATCCACTCCACCACCGATAGCCGTGACTTCAGCCACTGAGCCCTGAAATTCTGGAAATCTCTCCCTCAATCCCTTCACCTTGCCACCACCCTCCCCACCTTCAAATCCCACCTAAAAGACCTCTGCCACTGTGAAGCACTCCAGGACACGACTGCGCTGTCAGGGCGCTGTATAAATGCAAGTTATTGCTGCTGTTGTTGCTATTTGCTTTATGCAACATGATCACCTGAAACGTGGCCTGTTGTTTCCTTTCCTGACCAACTGTAAAACTGGACAACAAAAGCTGTTTTACAGACTAATATCAAGCGCAGAACTTTAATACCTTCAACTCAATTGACCATCGACTGTAGCTTACACCATTCAACTATGTTTAAATGGAATTCTAATTGCTCACGTTAAGCTGTGTTTGCTTTGCAGAGCTAACCACTTGCCAGAAAAGACTAAAAGCTGCGAGTAAGAATATAACTTTTACAATACAACATTACGTTTGTACTTCACCTTACAAGTTAGGAGGACATCCCAACGTGCTGGACAGTCAGGGATTTAGATCCGAGCTGGGGGGTCGGGATTGGGGAGGGTGGAGGGTAGCGAGAGCAGGAGGGTGGCCGAACATCGAGGAGGAGGATCTTGAAACTTGCCTTGAAGGAGGCAAGAGAGGGAGCGAGGCAAAGGGAATATGGGATGGAGTTCCAGAGGGTACGGGAAGAAAGGCTAAAGGCCTGACTGCCGATGGTGGGGTGGGACAGGCGGGGGATGTGGAGCAGGCCAGTGCCAGAGGGAACGGGCGGGTTGATATGGGGACAGGTTTAATAAGAGGTTTAATTATTAGAAGTGACAATTTATTCTTGTTTGTCATCTTGGCTCTTTGAGCCTCACTTTGTGTTTTTATGCTGAGCAAAACATTAAAAATATACTGAGAAATCTGACTCCAACAGAAGAAGGAAAAGAACCAGACAAAGCAGATGAAGCCAAACCAAGAGAGGAAAAGAAACCGGTGGATGTAAAGAAGAAAGGTAGTTACTTTCTTGGTTGTAAGTTTTACGATATTGGTTAGTTATTTCCCACCTCCAGGGTACATTTCAATTCAATTCAACATACATTTATTTGGGTTCCCATTTCTGTGTGTGTTGTGATGCTCTTCTCCTGGGTTTGGCGCTGACTGTGGAAAAGCAAAATATTGGACGTTGCAAAACAGCAATGACTGAATGACACAAATGCTTCATAGACTTCTTGTCGATTTTCCAGAAGATGATGAGCTTGAAGAAATTACTGCCCTAAGTATGAATGTTTTTTACTTATTTAAAATGTCTGGTTGTTTGTAACCCAGCAACCTGACCTCCCCCTAAAACTGTCCGAAACCGTATGCAACCTAGGCATCAGGTTCGACCCCCAATTATCCTTTCTCCCCCACATCCGGTCCCCCACCAGCACCGCTTTCTTCCACTTCCGTCGAATCGCGCGTCTCCGCTAATACCTTACCCCAAACGCCGCTGAAACCCTGGTCCATGCCTTTGTCACCTCTTGGCTGGACTATTCAAATGCCCTCCTCATTGGTCTCCCCTCCACTACCATTATAAAATCCAGGTCATCCAGAATTCTGCCGCCGCATTCTTACCCGCACCAAACTCTGCTCCCCGATTACCCCAGTCCTGGCCAGACTGCATTGGCTGCCTGTCCCTGAGAGGATCGACTTCAAGATCCTCACTCTTGTCTTCAAATCCCTCCACTCCTCTGCAACCCCCGACCTCTCTGACCTCCTCTCTTCTCACACAGTGCCTGTTACCTTCGCTCCACCGGGTCTGGCCTCCTCCTTTTCCCCCGAATCCTTCGCTCCACCCTTGGCGGCCGTGCCTTCAGCAACTATGCCCCGAGGCTCTGAACTCCCTTCCTCACTCCCTTCGCCTCACCCCCTCTCTTCCTATTTTCAGGTCTCAGCTGAAGACCTTTCCTTTCGAGCGCGACTTTGGTCACCTTCCCCCCTCCCCTCCCCCTGGCTCCCCCCCTTCCCTTTGGCTCGTCCCCGGGATGCTTTACTGTGAAACGCTGTGAGATGCCGTCCGGCGTGAAGGGCTCTATATAAATCCAAGTTGTTGTTGTTGTCACTCTTTAGCAATAAACATCTGTCACAGTACCTCATCGCACACATACTATCCCATTTTACAGATTGTTGTGTTGCCACTCAATGTGCATTCAAAACCCAATATATGTTTACCCACTATTGCTTATATAGAAGAGGATATTAAAGAAATAGAAAAAGGTAAATACTGAATTGATTTGAGACTTTGCATCAAATTCACCAGTCACATGTGTGTCTTTTGCTGTAAAGGTACCACCTCCATTGAAATGTTTTATATTCTCATGCTCGTGGGAGACGAACAAGAAGAGATCTTCACATGAAATGAGAAACAGTGAATACGCCTCAGTTTATATAGATATTGATGTGTGGATATTTGTTATTTAACCTCAACCTCTTTCATCGTGTGTGTACATTGGGATGTTCAAGTGTTGATAATTCTTGTGAATATGATGTGTTCCTCTTACTGTGTTGGAAAGGAAACGGCAGCCGTAGGTTGGAGTTTGGTTCTCCCCAAGCAAGAGAATCATTCACTGTTGAAATAAAAATACCTCATAAATATTTTGTTTGCTTTTCAGAAATAGAAGAGTGTAAAAAGCTCACAGTCCTGGCAGGTGAGACTCATGTCCAGAAAGCCTTGTGAAATGGGTCATGTCAACATCCTTGTTGTGAGTCGAGTCTATCCTTTCCCAAGTGCAGCGCCCAGCACATAATACCAAACTGCAAACACTTCTTAACTTCTCACCCTTTCACCTTTCCTCACTGTGTTCTCTTGTATTATTAGTTACATGAGGTCGTCACTTGGTGGTTCTGTTTCTCTCGACTTCTTTTCTGGCTGCCCGGCTCAAGGGGGCAAAGTCAGCAACAGGCAATGAGTGTATTCTCACGCAGTGCTTAATGGATTCTTTGCTTGGGCTTTAGAGCAAGAGGTTGTTGCAGAGGACGAGGACACAGCAAGTAAGCCCAAATTATTGTGTTAAATGTTCAGGCGGAATTTTGTTTGTTAGTGTTCGATCTGTTGTATCAAACTCACATTTATGGCTGAGTTTTGTAAAACACTAATTGCTGTGCGCAATTGGCTGCCGCGTTCGCCCACAAATATACAGTCAATTCACTTTACAGTGTGTTCTGTGAAGCGCTTTGGGACGTCCTCCCGACGTGAAAAGCGCTATATCAAATGCAAGGATTATTATTATTATTATTATTATTATTATCCGACCACATCTTTGTGAAGCGATTGAGTAATAATTAGGAGAAACTCCCAAAGTATCTACATTTCCCATTGAAGAATTCCTTCAATCTAAACTAATGTTATGGCTTTTCAAAAATAGAATTAAAAACAGGAACTGCAGAGACAGGTGAGCTTTAAAATTTGATCAATATCACATTCTTTGGCTTCAGTTGCTTTGACCTGAATACTTTTCTTGTGAGAAGACACGATTACGGTTCTGCTCTGATCAGTTCTTGTTTCACAGTGTCTCTCCTCACATATATCCTCAGATACATCAGTTTGCGAGGAATCAGTTAGATCACACTGTGTTGTTGTGCTCAAATGTGTCATTGTTTGTGTTGGGGTCGGGGTCTCAGTGGCTTCATGTTGTGATGGTGGTTGTGAGTTTCTATCTGAAATACTAATACAGTGGGAGAAGAGTTGTCCCCAATTCATGACACTATTGTGTTATGTAACAAAAAAATCACTCTGTTTTTCAGAACTGGAAAAGTGTAAAACTAAACTAAAGGAAGCAGGTAGGGAAGAGGTTTCTGAGTTTAAAATAATAAAATAATATTTTCCTGCTCAGTTGCTAGTGACATGACTACATATTTATATATTATATACATACATATACATAATATATTATCTGTATATATACATATAATATGTATATGTGTCTGTGTGTAAATTTTAATTCTTGTTCAATACCTACAGAGGAAAATAAGATTAAACAAACTGAAGGTAAATGTTGATAAGGTTTTACAATAACAAAAACTTGCAATTATATAGCACCCTCCACGCAGGGTAGTGTCTCGTAGCTCTTAACAGTGGCTGTTTTCGATTAAAAGTCAGTTTTGGCTGTGAATGAGAGAGGTGGTAGGCGTAGAGGTGCTCGAGCCACAGCTGGTGATGAATCGTGAGGCTGGATTTCTGCCATCTGTGCTCGAGCATCCATGTTTTTGTTTTGGGTGAGCGGAGATGACTGCTGTACCGGGGGAGAGGGCAGGTTTGCAAACAACCCTGGATTTCAGCAGAGCCAGGAATTGAAGGTTGTGGTGAGACGGTCATTCAGCAGCTTGACGGCTGCTTCGGGATGGCTGTGGGTGGAGGGCCAGTGGGAGAGGAGACCTGAGGGAGAGAGGGCCTTTGTGAGGGACTCGGGGGGAAGCTTTTTTCAGGGGCAAAAAAAAATGGTGGAGGGTTTGGAAGAGGGGAGGGGGATGTGGGAAGTGAGGGTGATGAGAAAGTGGTCCGACATGGCCTTGTCCGTGATTGACAGGTCAGAAATGTCAAGGCCATGTGCGATGATGAGGTCGAGGGAGAGGCCAGGGTTGTGGGTCGGTGAGTTCATGTGGAGGGTGAGGTTTAGGGAGGAGAGGAGGGCAGTGAAATCCGAGGATGTGGGAGTTTAGGTGGAGATTGAAATCACCCATTATGAGCAGGTGTTCAGTGCAGAGGGACAGGGATGAGAGGAGACGGGAGATATCAGTGAGGAAGGAGCCAGGAGGTTTGGGGGAGCTGGCAAATTACGAGGATTTTGAGGCAGAGAAAGGAGGGATGGTAGAGGGTGAGGTGCTCAAGGTGGGAGAAACAGCCAGAGAAATAGGGGGATAGACCAAGGGAAGCTTGGGAGATGAGGGCCACCCAACTGCCACATAGGTTGAGGCGAGGGGTGTTTTGAAAGATGTAGCCAGGAGGGGAAGCTTCAACGAAGGGGATGGGATCATCAGGGGAGAGCCAGGTTTGCGTAAGCCCAAGAACAACCATGTGCTCATCCAGGGTGAGGTCATGGATAGTGAGGGCTTTGTTGGAGAGGGAGAGGACATTTTGGAGGGAAATGTGGATAATTTTGCTGGTGGGGGAGCGGTGATGGGGAGAGTGGTATAGAGAGGGTTTGAGGTCGTGGGGAAGAATTGATCATGGAGTTTGAGTAGCAGGGAAAGTTGGGGAGGGTATACATGAGGGAGCTGGAGGCGATTGCTGCGATGGGACAGTTGGTGTGGCTACTTTTGGACAAACCAACTCCAGAAGCCACGATTGGCCTGGCGGAGGATGCCCAGGCTGGAGCAGATGGAGGTAATGATGGGGTCCAGGAGAGAGAGAAGGCGAGAGGGCGGTGGGAAAGAAGGACAGAGTGGGAGTAGCGGAGTGTGGGGGGGGGGTGGGAATAGAAACATATTCAGGGCGAACGGCTCGGGTGGGGGGGTGTGGGGGGAACCTCACAATATAAATGTTATTTTATTTGTTCTAATTACATGTAAGGCTAGATTAATGATTGAAAATATTTTTTATACTGATCACTTCAGTTATACTGTGGCTAATTTTATATCTGAAATATGGACACAAATGAACACTAGATAATGACTCCCCAGACATTAATACAGACAGACGCATCAACACAAAAGGCACACACACACACACATCTACGCAAACACTCCCAGACACACAGGCAGATAATAGATAATCACACCCTCCCAAACAAAAGACGATCAAGGCATTCACCAGAAACAAGGGAAATTGTAAACAGACAGACGTATAAACAAATAGCTGAAGAATTTGTCTTTCCTGTTGTAGACTTGGAGAAAGTGAAAGAAAACTTGAAAATTACTGGTATGGAAAATATGGATTGTGTTTTTCCAGACAGACAGACGGACAGACGGGCAAATGGGCAGATAATATTGTTTTTCAAATTTCCTGCTTTTTTTTACAGTTTTTCTTTTCGTGGAGTCCTGAATTCTGTTTATCTTATGATCCAGAAATCTCATTAGGCTTTATATTTATGGCAATTGTTGAGCAATATAAATATCACATTGTTGCTACCAACGTCACTAACCTTCCCGTTTGATATTCTGACGGCTGTGTTTTGTTATATGTTCAGTTCCATTAATTATTGTTTTACTGGGCAGAGGAGGCCATAGCAACGAAAGACAAAGGTGATAACAATGATTTACAATCTTACACAAGTCCAACAGCTTCCCAGCTGCAAAAAATTGTTTTTTATTGGTCAGCCGTGCGACCAATACACTTGTTTTGGGGTAACCGAAGTTTAACCAGCTAAAACCACACAGCTTGTCATTAATAGCAGGGCCTGGCGAGCTTTCCCACTGCTTGTCCAGCTGGGGTCACGCTACTCATTAAGGCATTGGCTTCCAGAGCTAACCGAAGTTGGAACATAGGAACTAGGGCAGGAGTAGGCCATTCAGCCCCTCGAGCCTGCCCCGCTTGAGTTGAGTGGGAGGGTTCCCTGCTCTTCCTCGTCCTGCCCATGAGCCAGGCTGGGCTGTGCTATCATCAGCAGTGCCATGGAATACTGTGGACCCGCCTGGCCCCATGAACCGGACTAGAGACCAGCAAAGAGGGACGACTCGATTCTGACATTCCGCAGCCAAACATATCACCTTGGAGCCAGTTCAGCCCTGAAAAGACCCAGCTTACCTGTTCCCCCCGAGGAAATCCCACCCCTCCCCGCGCAGGATGATTTGACCTGATGTGAAGCAAATGTTTACTGTGTCGAAGCTGATGTGCTCAGTGATGGCCTTGACTTGCTGCCTGCAGAACGAGAGAAGTGTGATGAAGAGATCATAGCTGCCAGTAAGATAAGATAAACGATTTGTTAACTGCTTGGGTGAAATCCCGTCCCCTCCCATCTCAACTCAATTAGCGCCTCAACACGTCCTCCCTCCCCCCCGATCGCCCCCTCTTTACCTATCTTCACATCACACCTAAAGACTTTCCTCTTCGACCTCACCTACGCTCATCCCCTCTCTCTGTATCTCTTTCTCTTTCTCTCTCTCTGGCGCGGTGTCAAGCTCAGGTACTGTCCAGGCTTCCAAGATGCCGCACACGTCACTGGTGCTGAATAACAAACAACAAATGACATTTATAGAGTGGCTTTCGCGGCGGGAGGACATCCCAAGGCTCTGGACAGTTAAGGGTTTGCACCCAAGCTGTGGGTTGGTATCCAGAGAGTGTGGGGGGGAGGCAATTTTAACACTTTCTGTAATTTGGGTTTCTTTTTCCTTAACAGTGGTACAGACTTTACATCGTCTTAGAGATTTGAATTGAAATATCCTCTGGACATTTATGATATATTTAATGTATTGTATATCAATCTAATATATTTATAGATTTATAGATCATAAAACAATTGCATGATAAGTGGCAATAGTGATTGATATGAACAGTAAAACCATGTGGTTTGTTATATTTAATTTGGGCTAATCACAAACAATGAGAGATTACGCTTTAAAAATCCTGGTTATAAAAAGTAAATAGAGGAAGTCAAATATATCTCACACATTATCATATCAGGATGTAATTATAATTAATTCATATTTTGCTTCACAGAACTAACCAAATGCCAGACAGATCTCAAGGAAGCAGGTGAGGGTGAGCTTTGATACCGAGTTAAGATTTTTTTTGAGCTTGTGGCAATGATATTTGCTGCCCTGTTGCTGTTCCTCACTGTAGTGCTGGGAAACCTAAACTCTTAACGGTGTGTCAATCAGAAACCATACTGCCTCGCAACACACACTCTTGTCCAGTTATGACAGCTTATTCTTTCCCCCCCTCTCCCCCCCACACACACATTTAAACATTATTAATTTTATTTGCAGAGAAGAATTTGGAAAAGAAAAAGAAAGGTAGTTTCCTAGGATCTTGATGATACCACTGCCACGTCGTTTCTCTTTCATTTTTCAGCCTTTATGTTTCGCCCCTAAAATACACAATCTATTCACCTTACAGCATATCCTGTGAAGCGTTTTATTAAATGCAAGGATTATTATTATTATTCTGTTGTAAATTCACGCAATTAATGTCATTGAGTTTGGAGCAATCACAATTTAAACACTGAAATTTGGGGTTTGCTTTTTCCATAACAATGACAGTCTTATCCTCTGGGCATTCTATGATGTATTCTATGTATTGTATACCAATCTAACATATTTGTGTATCATAAAACAATTATATGATGAACAGAAAAAACAACTCCATTCACCAATCTTTCCCTCTCCCGATTCCCAGAATTAAAAAGGTGTAAAGTGAAAGGTGAGATTGAATTCAGAGTTAAGGTTCAAGTGAATGTTTCATTATTTAATTTAATCCTTTGGGAATTGAGTTTTTCTCTCCCTTTCTTTCTCTCCCTCTCTCCTGGGGTATTGGCCGACAATCCCCTTGAAAATGAAAACAAAAATGGGCTTCCCCGTTTGCCCACAAAACCCACACAGTCACCCCACTCTACAGTAAGATCCTCCAACTGCTTCATGATGTCTTCCCAACATGAAATGAGACACATCACATCTCGTCCATAAAATATCCATTCGCTCTGCTTTGCAGCGTATCCTGTGAAGCGCTTGGAGACGTCTCGAAGACGTGATAAGGTGTTAACATCAAATGCAAGGATTATAAATAATAATTATAATCCTTGGCATTTGATAAGCGCCTTATCACGTTTTCGAGACGTCTCAAAGCGCTTCACAGAATCTACTGTCGAGTGAGTTGACCATATTTTGTGGGCGAAATTATTATTATGAAAGGCACCATCATCAATTATTGGATTGACGGAACATAAGGATGTTTATAAAAAATATTTTTTAATAATAATACTTTTTTTATTTTACTGTTCGATTCACAGAGGACAATCGAGAGGACATTTTAAGTGAGAAAAATCATATTTATGTAAAACCAGCATGGCGGCCTATGGGCCGAATTCGGCCTGGAGGATGTGAATTAATAGCAGATTGTAAACGTTTGTGATACAATCTCACACTCATATGTATCATATATATAGTTGCACACATTTCCTTTGCCTTCCTGTTTGGTTTCTCTGTTTCTTTGATGACTAACCTGGTTGTAAATGTGAGCGGGAAGAAACTGGCGCCCGATGCCTGGCTTTAGTTTGATCGTAAATTAAACAGTTTATAGTTTTGTGTAATTTGCACGGTTCTGTTGTGTAAAAACGCCTGTCAAAGGGGGAGTAATGTACTCATTTGTGCTGCGCTGTACACAAACCACATTGAGGCTGTTTGACTATTGTCTTTTTCTTTTTGAACAAATAGTCACGGAAAATGGTTGGAAAATAAACATTGAAATGATTTTTTTTCTATAGAAAATGAACTGGAAGAAAAGAGAAAAGGTAGAGGTTGAGGAGTAAATGCACAGAGGGCATTGCCAACAGCAGGCATTTTACGTTTTAGTTGTTCGTGGAAATTAGATTGTGTCTGCATGTGGATTAAAATAATATATATATATGTATTAAAACATATAAAATATATACATAAATATTGTAGATATAATGTGCTATATCAGTTGCATAAATTATTATTATTTTATTTGGTGGGGTAAAAATCCCTCAATGTTTTATATTTCAAACACCACTCCAACTAAACCTGGGGCAAATAAATAAGGTAGAAAGTGAGACTAACACAGGAGACGAGGCTACTTTGACTTGAAAAACAGAGTTTGATTTGTTTCACATTTTGAATGGGCTCCTGTGCTTTGTAAGAGCATTATGAGCGGAGTGAAAATAACAAAATGCTTCTTGTATTCTTTTTAGAACTCGCTGAGTGTGAAAAGCAGATTCGTGCTGAAAGTAAGTGAAAAGTTCAAATGTGTTTAAAGTTTTCCTTCCTTCTGGTTGGTCACACTTGGTGCTGTGTTTCTCTGCTCGTGTGACCTCCTCTCCTTTACAACCGGAGCAACACATGCCCACAACAACAGTAACAAATTACACTTGTACAGCACCCTTCACGTCGGAAAGACGTCCCAGGGCGATGGACAGTCAGGGCTTTTTGACTGTCCGGCTTATTAAACTGATACGAGTGTAATTCGGGGCAGTGTCTTGCAGTGCTGTCCGGTGGCAGAGTTTGATACCGAGCGAAAGGGAGGGGAGTTGACTGTAGACCAGGTCGAAGAGGAAAAGCTTCAAGTGGGATGTGAAGAGGGATAACGAGAGGGATAGAAGCAGTGAGTGACAGAGGGTTGGCGGGCAATGGCTGAAGACGGTCCTGGAAAGGTGGCCTGCCATTGTTGGAATAAAATAAAATGTTATTAAGAAATGCGACACAGTTCACAATCCAGGCCTAGAGACAAATGTATTCATTTATTCCTACAGAAGAGAAAACTGCAGTGACTTTACCAACTATAGGTTCACTGAATCCTTTATGTTATATGATCACTATATGATGATAATTTGTTTTGGCCTCTTAGTTTGTCAATGCTTGTGATGTAGTCAATGGGTGTCCAGCCTGGCTCAGTCTCTCACACTCCCGAATCCGAGTCAGAAGGTTGTGGTCTGGAGCCCCCACCCCTCCCCACACATACATACGTCGGGGATGCTGGGGGGAGGGAGCACCGCATTGTCAAAAACGCCATTCTTCAGATGAGACGTTAATCCTCACTCCCATCTGTCTGTGCCCTGTTCGGGCGAACATTAAACATCTCCCAGAGCGCTGTCAGGAAAAGCGAAGGGAGTTTGTCTCTCTGGGTGGTGGTGAAGGTGGGGACTTTTACCGTTCCTTTCTGAAACTGAAGACCGCTGGAAGCAATAAACTTTTAAACATTTTTCTTTTCACAGCAATGGACGTAATCAAATTAGAGCAAGGTGGGTCTGAAAACCACAGACATTCACCTTGATTGATGAGTACTGTAATGCACATTTAGCTTTGATTGTTCTCTGTTGTGGATCAGTTCCTGATTGTTCCTCTCATTGGGGTGAATATTTTAATCTACTGAAAATTAACTAAAGTGGAAATGGGGGGGAGGAGAAAAGGGAAAGCAAAATTGTCAGAGATGTCGTCCTTTGGTTGAGATGTTAAACCTCACTCCCAATCTGAGGCACTATAACAAACTTATGTTGTTATTACTATTATTTCTACACCGCTGCTCTAAGATAAATATTCTGGTTTCAGATATAAAAGACTGTAAAAGATTGCAGGGACAATTAGGTGGATAAGTAGCTAATTTCTGTTCAAATCTTATTGAAGTGTCATTATTTTGTGTTTAATAAGATATTTGCTAATAAGATATTTTGGCTGTTTTCTTTTATCATCATACAACTTTGTCACCAACACTTCTAACACAAAATTGTAAACTCTGCATGAACATATGACTCTCCTGACTCCCCCCCCCTCCCCCCCACTCAGTATTTTGTGGGCGATACACGGCAGCTGCATAGCAGCGTCCCACAAACAGCCGTGGATTGAGTGATCGCATTTTTATTATTTTTGAAGGAATTATTATCCCCAGAAAAGCAATCGCTAATCAACAACCAGGTTCCTACTTACTGCTGGATAAACAGAGGTGTGTGGAGTAAGAAAACTTGCCCAACGTTTCGCCCTGCCGGGAATCGAACCCAGGTCTTCTCGCTTGCGAGTCGAGTGCTCTAACCACTGAGCCACAGGACTCCATGTGCGGCTGACAGAGATCTCTACAACTCTGGGTCTGACNTTTTTTTGTGTGACTCACACTAAACTCCTGATAGCTCGACCATGGCTTCACTAGTCACTTCCACTTAAGTCATCATGTTGTCAATATCCCGACCACATTTATTGATGTATTCCTACACATGGCTAACTCGCCGCTCCTGATAACTCATCACTGAGCCCCTTTCCCTCGGAGAGACGAGTTATCAGGCGTTTACTGCAGCACAAAAGACATGACTTTACCCATTTGGCATATATTTGCGCCAAATTGACTTATATTGTTACCAGAGTCTGTTTTCATTGTGCGAATCTGTGCTTATGATCAGCTTTTAGAGATGGAATATAATGATTTTCCTCAACATTGAATGAATAGAGATTAGCTGGAGATGTCAGAAATAACAACAGGAGCAAACTGCATTTATAACTCGCCTTTCACGTCAGGAGGTCGTCCCAAGGCGCGTGACAGACAGGGATCCGCATCTGAGCTGATGGTTGGGATGAGGAGGGGTGGAGAGCGGAGAGGGTAGGGCTAGGAGGATGATCGAAGGCACGGTCGAAGAGGAGGATTTTGAGACGGGTTTTTAAGGAGGCAATAGAGGGGGCGAGGCAAAGGCACTGTGGGTTGGTGTTCCAGAGGGTGGGGGCAGAGAGGCTGAAGGCCCAATGGTGGGGTGAGCAAGGCGGGGGATGTGAAGCAGACCGGAGCCCAATGAGCAGAGGGACAGATAGGTTGATAATGGGGATAGGAGGTCACAAAGGTAGGGAGGAGCAAGGCTGTGGAGGGCTTTGAAGGTGAGGACCAGGATCTTGAACTGTATCCTGTGTGTGATGAGAGGCCAGTGGAGCTAACCCAAACAAATAACAAGGATATTAATTTGTTTTGAGCAGACCGAGAAAATAAGAACCTGTCCGATGGTAAACATTCAGATATTATATGTCACTCCCGTAATCATAAGAACTATCGGTTTGTCTGTGTGTCAGACAATGGCTGATTGGACTGATGGGTTTCTGCTCGTGTGTATCAGACACACACACAGCTGATCATGGTAACAGGTTTCTGCATGTGTGTCATACACGTTGTTAATAATAATACATTTGCTATTGCGCCTTATCACATCTTCTAGACGTCTCAAAGCACAGAATATACTGTAAAGTGAATTGACTGTATGTTTTATGGGTAAAACGCGACAGCCAATTGCGCACAGCAGCGTCCCACAAACAGCCGTGGATTGAGTTACCAAATTATTATTATTTATTTTTTATTATTTTGTGTTGAATACAATGATAATTATTACCTGTTGCTTAGTAGCTCCAATTTTTTCTTTTCTCGTTTCCGCTCGTAGCTGTGGAGAAGGTTAAAAGCATCACAAAAGAAAAAGGTTCATGAAAAATCAACTCGTTAATTAAAACAACAGCAAAATTTCACATTCACGCATTGTCAGTCATATCAGGGAGGACATCTCAATGTGCTTTGAGGTGGAATGCTGTAGGTTTACATGTTGATATATATATATATATATATATGAGCCTGGCTCAGCCGCTTGTACTCTTGCTTCAGAGTCAGAATGTGGGTTTGAGCCCCCCCACCACACACACACACACACACACACACACACACACACATACATACATTGGGGACTCGGAACTTATATAGTCTAAACTGACAATCCAGCGCAGTGCTGGGGGGAGGGAACACCCTACTGTCAGACACCATCCTTCAATGTTAAATATCTCCTGCTGCGCTGTCGGGAAAAGAGAGAAGAGAGGACACTTGAGAAGGGTTCTCTTTCTCACCCGGTGTCCTCACCACCCCCACCCCACCCTCGGTCACTTCATGCCTGTTCATGGGGACGTCACTGTGTGTAAAACAGAACTGCCCACAAAATACACAGTCACTACACAGTCACCGAACTTAATTTAAGGGCTCTGAGAGGTCCTCAAATGTTATTATTTTTATTTCAAATTTATTAAATATTTAATATTTTTTCCTCAACAGAAAAGTTAATGCTGAAGAGAGAGGAAGGTATTGAAAACTGTTTACGTAGCAAAGTGATATAGCTGAGATATTTTCGCTTACTTATTTTCATTTTTTAAAATATATATGGAACCGAACATCATATTTTTCAGACACTGTTGGAAAGTGCAAAACCTTTATGATACTGAAATCTTTATTAACTTTACTTGCCGTCTCCTAAACAACCGACTTACCTTTTCATGGCTACATCTTAAACGGAGTCCTGTGGCTCAATGGTTAGAGCACTCGCCTCACAAGCGAGAGGGCCTGTGTTTGATTCCCAGCCGGGGTGAAACCTTAGCAAGTTTCCTCACTCCACACGCCTCTGTTTACCAGCAGTCAGTAGGAACCCGGTTGTCAGTCGATTGGCGGATCGCTTTTCCTGGGGTAATAATTCCTTTTTAGAAAAATGGTCATTCAATCCACGACTGTTTGTGGAACACTGATATGTGCAATTGGCTGCCGCGAGTGGCCCACAAAATACACAGTGTATCCTGTGAAGCGCTTTGAGACGCCGCGAAGATGTGATAAGGCGCTGTATCAAATGCAAAGATTATAATTATATTTATATTTCACCTTAAACATCGCACTTTCACTTGAGAAGAGAGTTTCCCTCTCTGACACCACCCCCCTGCTCCCCTCTGACCCCCCCCTCCACACCCCCCATCCCCCCCGTCCGCCCGGTGTCTTGGCCGACAATCCCCTTGATAAAACTGTGTTTACCTGTTTGTGGGGTCATCGATGTGGGTAAAATGGTCCACTGTATCCTCAGAAACTGCCTTCTGTTTTAAGGGCTCTGAGATATATAAGTGCAAATTGTGTTCTCGAATAGCGCTGCAGGAGATCTTTAACTACACACAATAATATAGTTCAATAGAAGTATTGTTTGGTTTTTCAGCACTGAATTCTTGTAAAGCAAGACTGCAGGCTACCAGTAAGCAACACGCTCTTAACTATTGGAAAGTGTTCGTGAAATGTTCTATTGTGTGTGTGGTATTAAAAATGCATTGAAAGACTCAAATCCAGGAAAACACTTTAGGGATGAAAGTCAGACAGGAGAAGGATAGGAGACTGGTTTCGAGTTGTGATTTGAGTCTGGGGAATATTAAACTGACTGCGAAACCTGACCCCAACAGAGGAGGGGAAAGCACTCAAAAAGGAAGACCTGATCAAAGACATAATCAAAACAACCACGCTGACGGACACAGGTGGGCACTCATTTACCTCAGCGTTCACAGGCTTTTATTTAGTGATAATAACACTGCTAACATTTGGGACTTTAGAGGAAAACCCCTAATTAATTTATTGTTGGATTTCTAGTAAAAAGTGTCGAGAAAAGGATAAAAGAATTAGGTAAGGAGAATGTGTGTGTCAATTTAAAGCTTAGGCTAATACATTTGTCCTGTGGCTGAGTGGTTAGACCACTCGCCTGGTAAGCGAGAAGACCCGGGTTCGATTCTCGGAAGGATGAAACGTTGGGCAAGTTTCCTTACTCCACCGACTCTGTTTATCCAGCAGCAAGTAAGAACCAACAATAACAACTGCAAAATTACACTTGAAAAGGGCCTTTCACATTGGGAGGACGTCCCAAGGCACTGAACAGTCAGGGATCAGGACCCGAGCATGTGGGAGAGAAGGGTTGGGATGAGGGAGGGCAGAGGGGGTAGGAGGGGCAAGGACATGGTGGGCCTTGAAAGTGAGGACGAGGATTTTGAATTCTATCCTCTGAGGGATGGGGAGCCAATGGGGCCGGTGAGGGTGGGAGTGATGAGGTCACGGAACCTGGTGCAGGAGAGGACATGAGCTGCAGAGTTCTGGATGATCTGTAGCGTGTGGAGGGAAGAGTTGGGGAGACCGACAAGTTGGGATTCCATAGTCGAGCCTTGAGGTGACGTATGCGTGTATGGCGATTTGCGGAGCGATGTCCCTGGAGTAATAACACCTTCAAAATAATAATAAAATGGTCACTAAAAATCTGCGGCTGTTTGTGGGACGCTGCTGCACGCAATTGGCTGCTGCGTTTCACCCACAAAATATACAGTCAATTTACTTTACAGTATGTTTTGTGAAGCTCTTTGAGATGACTTGAAGACGTTATAAGGCGCTACATCAAATGCAAGGATTATTATTATGAAGCTCTCTGGGACATTACCCTGCGTGAGGGGCGCTATATAAATGCAAGTTGTTGTTGTGGTTTTGTCCGCTGGTTATAAACGGTTTGCGTTGTATTTCTATCATGGCGTGAAAAATACATGTCAATGTGTCTGGTATTGTTAAAAATATTCAGCATTTAAATGTTCCTTTTTTAATATAGAAGACGAGATTGCCGCAGTAAAAAAAGGTGGGGACTGAATATGATTGAACGCTTCACGTTACAGTTTATCTCTGACTCCTTGTTCCAGGCTTCTCACGCGATTTAACATAAATCTTTTCATAAACCATTCGCACAGCAGCTTCCATTATCGTTTTTGTCGCAGCGAAAAAGCTTACTCTGACACTCACTCCACCTCGTTCTTTTCTTTCTGTCTTATTGTCCACCTGAACACAGGATAATCGAGGCTTAAAGTCTTACCTGACGGACGGTGTCTCTGGCACTGTGCTGCTCCCACACCTCCAGAGCTGTCTTCTTAGTGTCTTCTTAGTCTGTAGGCAATTGGCTGCTGCGTTTCGCCCACAAAACATAGTTTATGGTATATCCTGCAAAGTGCTTTGAGACGTCTCAATTATGTGATAAGCCGCTATACCAAATGCAAGAATTATTATATGAGTTCCAAGACCCTGACGTGTGTGTGTGTGGGGGGGTGGGGGGGGAGCCTTGAACCCACAAGTTCTAACTCTGAGATGAGGATCCACACGACTGGCACTCAGTGTTAATAATAATAATCCTTGCATTTGATATTGCGTCTTATCACATCTTCGAGACGTCTCAAAGCTTCACAGGATTTAGTGTCAAGTGAATTGAATGTAGATTTTGCAGGTAAAATGCCGCAGCCAATTGTGCACAGCAGCGTCCCGCAAGCAGTCGTGGATTGAGTGACCAAATTATTATTATTATTAATCAATTATTATTTAAGATCACACAGAATTGTGGAAAATTATTAAATTCCAAAGCCATTTTTGTACGAACTGTGGAAAAGCGGCTTCCAAACCAAGACTGAATCAAAGAATGTTCCACCATTCTACATTCAACATCTTTTATAATTTGAAATCTGTAGGATTTATCTAAGGTTTAAAAATCAATCTAAGAAAGGAGGCAACATGACAGCTTTACTACATTGGTTTAATCAGTCATTAGAGCCACTTGAAATTGATGTTTCGTGAACACATCAGCGTCCAAAAAATAAAACTCCTCTCGGCTTTAGGTTTGAAGCAAACAATTCCAGATCCACAACTCCACGCTCAAAAGTTAGCAAAACCACAGAGCAGAATTTGAAGCCGAAAGCAGCAGGAACAATGAAATTTCAACTTGCTGTTGGAATAAACTTGGATAATGGAATTGTTGTATTAATTTTCAGATTTAGACGAGTGTTTACTGGCCCTCACAGGTCAGACTTCCACATCATCAAAAGCTTATCAATTAATTTTAAAGTTTCCCTGAAAATGACGTTATTCTGCCCGACTGTGGATCGAGTTCAATATTTCTAGTCCTCATCGTTAAATCACTCCACGGTCTAACCCCCCACCGCCCCCCCACCCCCACACACACACACACACAGACCCTCTCGTCTCGATCACTCACGCCAAACCCAGCCGCTCTTTCCACTCAGCGGGCATCGGCTGGCTTCAAGCCCCTCCGCCATCCCTTACCATCGGGGTCAGCCTTTCAGCCTACCTGCCCTGTCCTCCCTCATGTTGGCCTTACTACACCAACTGCCAGCATTACTACACCAACTGCCAGCTCGCTGCCCTCCACAACTCTTCCCTCCACAAGCTGTAGATTATTCAGAACTCTGCTGCTCGTGTCCTCTCCTGCACCAGGCTCCGCCATCCAATCACCCCTGTTCTTACCCGGCTTCACTAGTTCCCCATCCCTTAGAGAATCGAGTACAAAACCCTTGTTCTCACCTTCAAGGCCCTCCATGGTCTTGCTCCCACCCTACCTCTCCGACCTCATGTCCCCGATATCAGCCAATCTGCTCCATCCGCTCGGCGGACACTGGACTGCTGATCCCCCGCACTTCCTGCCCCACCATCGGCAGCCAGGTATTCATCATCTCTGGCCCACACTCTGGAACTCTATCCCCCAATCCCTCTGCCTCACCCCCTCTCTTGTCTCTTTAAAATTCCATCTCAAGACCCTCCTCTTGGACCATACTTTCGGCAACCCTAGCCCTAACCCTCCCCCTCCCCGCCATCCTGATCCCAACCACCCGCTCGGGTCTGATCCCTGACTGTCCAGCGCCTTGGGACGTCCTCCTGATGTGAAAGACGTTTTACTAATGTAATTTGATGTTGTTGCTGACAATTCATTGTGGCTTCGTCGCGAACAGTTCTGTACATTTTGTCGACGCAATGAGGCGAGGCATTAAATGCAGGAATTGTTATTTTATTACTGTTGTAGTTTTTGTCTCTGTTCTTGTTATTATTCATTATTATTTGTTTATCCTCGTGATCTTGATGAACAAGGCTGAAAAGTGAACAATCCCAATCATACACCGACTGTGATGAAATGACGCTTTGTGTGTCTTATGCTATTTGTGTGTTTTACAGACACAAAATTTCCTCTGGATCAAGTCGATTCTCTCGGTTTGTAAAGTTTGTAAAGCCAATTGGTGGGGGGAGGGGTTGGGGGTGGTCTATAACCGGGGCACCAGCCAGTGTAACGTAGTGACTGGGGGGTAGGGGTGTAACCCTGGGAACAGGAGTACGGAGTGAATGACATCGATAGAAACGTTTCTCTTTTTTTGATGTAAAACTGATTTGAAAAACAAATTAGATTGAAAACGCTTTTGTTCTCTTTTGTAGACGCCCAAAAGGCACGATTAGAAACAGGTGTGATTTAAGATCTAAACAACGCAATGTTTCTCTTCAGTCGAGGTTTCGGAATCAATATTTCTCGGGCTTCGAGAGAGAGTAACATCACTTTGTTTTTTATTTCTCTATCTTCTTGGAATCTTGGTGTTTATTGTCCTCCTTTCAGAGAGTCAGAGACACAGGCTCTCCTGCTCGGCACCCACCAGGGCCTCCTCACCTCAAGGGCTGGATGCACTCCCCACCTCACCTCCACCTCTCTTGATTCCAGCCCCCAGGTCGGACGCAAATCCTTGAATGTCCAGGGCCTTGGGAGGTTCTTCCGATGTGGAAGGCACTAAATAAATGTAATGTGTAGTGGTTGATAACAATAATAATCCTTGCATTTCATATAGCGCATTATCAAGTCTTCGAGACGTCTCAAAGCACTTTACAGAATATACTATAAAGTGAATTGACTGTATATCTTGTGGGCGAAACACGGCAGCCAATTGCGCACAGCAGCGTCCCACAAACAGAAATGATTTCACGTGTGAAATGCCAACACAATGAGAATAATCCTCCACTATTGTACTATTTTAAAGACTCATTGATTAATATGCTTCATGTTTTTCAGTATTGGAAGAATGTAATTCAAGTTTAGCAAAAGCAGGTACAAATGAGGATCAAAACTGAATTTAGGTGATTTAATTGAGGAGTAAAATATGACTCTTGTCGCTTTGAATGCAGTCTCGCTACCTTTTTATTGCTGTTGCCAATCAGAAGAAAAACAAGATATTTTATTAATAATAAAAAATCTTAAGATTCGGTACCGCAACATTCACGTTGGGGGGGATATCTCAAAGCGTTTTGCAAGGTTTTCAACATAAAACGTAGTCACTGCGTGGGGTTTGTGGGCGAATTTTTTAATAAAATGTTATTCAATTGAGTAGAAATCCAGACATTTGACTGAGAATTTCTTTCCATAGTTGCGCACAAAATACAGCTGTCCACAGGTATAAACGATCACACGTCGCGATGTGAACAGTGTTAACATTTGTTGTTCTTTTACCGTTCAATTGGAGTTATCTGTGGCCTTGTTACACCTTGGTTGTATTTGGATCCATTTCAGAAGTGTTAATGATAATAATAATCTTCGTATTTGATACAGAGCCTTATCACGTCTTCGAGACTTCTCAAAGCGCTTCACAGAATATACTGTAAAAGTGAATTGACTGTATATTTTGTGGGCGAAACACAGCAGCCAATTGCGCACAGCAGTGAATGTCCCACAAACTCTCGTGGGTCAAAGTGACCAATTTACTGTTTTTTAAAGGAATTATTATCCCCAGAAAAGCGATCCGCCAATTGACTAACAACCCAGTTCCTACTGGGTAAACAGAGGCATGTGGAGTAGGGAAACTTGCCTAACATTTCGCCCTGCCCAGGAATCAACCCAATTCTCTCTAATGAGGAATAATGCAGCATGGGGGCAATCGACAACAATAATAAATATCCTGATATTTTTACACATTCCTCACATCTCGAAGTTCTTTGCAGGATTTTCACTACAAAATATAGTGGCTGTGCGTTCTGCGGGCAATGTAGAACAATGTAATTACAAACACTGAAATTACTCTCCAAACGTGTAACCATTTTATTTTGTCTCAGATTTAACTGCCGCCAAAGAAGAATTGCAGACAATAGGTAAAGGGAATCAATTAATGTTTTTTTTTGAAGGCTTAAAGGAAAATACCCTTAGCTGCTTGTGTCTATCGCAGGTGTTTAATTATTGAGCAATGAAATTCCAAGTCGAAACAACACAAATTGCTTCACATTTAATTAAAATAGTTAATTAAAACCAGCGGCCGTGATTCGCCCACACAATCTATTTTACAATGCATTATGTGAAGCGATTTGAGACATCCCAACAACACGATAAGGCATTATATCAAATGCAAGGATTATTACTATTATTACATCTGGTTTTTAAAGGGGATTGACTGTATATTTGTGAGGGAATGAGACAGTCAATTTTGCCTTCTCTAAATATTAAGCATCATTGGAATAACAGACCCTCAATGCTAACAATTCTGGAAACCTCAGCGTGTTTTTCCTGCAAATCTCTACTTTGCTAAAATAAAACATTTTTCTGTGATTATCCATGCATTTTGATAAAACAGTGAAATGTTTGAACAGCACAAGAAAGCCAATCAGAACAGCAATGTTACTGAAGCTCTGGGCTGTTCACTTTACACAACATAACACTTTGCTGTTTGGGGATGTAAATGAGTAAGTTTTCCAATATGTTGCCGGATATTCTGGAATTTTGGGGGGATATTTCGAGATTACGTCTTAATAGTCAGCGGCTGTTACTTCATATACCTCAGCGTCCGATAATTATTGTTTTGCTGAAAAACAGAGGAGCAAATCATTCAAAGCGAGAAAGGTAAGATTGCCAACTTGTCGCTCAGAGCCGTTTCCTCTCACAAGACCGAACCGAGCGAGTGATTTTATCGGGTGGATTGAAGGGAAACCATCAAGCGTTAATTTAAACAAACCTATTGAATTGACCCTTTTGGTTCTTTTTCTGTGCCTCTCTGCCCAGATCAAGTCACCTGTGAAGAGGATATAAAAGAAGCTAGTGAGAATAACCTTGTTTGTTTAACCCTTCATGACAGAATCGCCATCACCCCAGTCCTCACCCACACTCCTTCCCTCCCCATCACTCAGGTCCTCGCCAGGCTTTCTCTCTCTCTATCCCCTCCCCAGCTCTGCGTCAAACCCCAACACTGTCCATCACCGCGAGACACTGCCCCGAGTGAAGGGCGCTGTGTGAACACTCCTTGGGTTGGTTTTGTTTTCAGAGCTAAAAAAATGCCAGGTGGATCTGAAAAAAGCAGGTGAGAATGACGTCAGTGTCTTGTTCTCAATCTTTATGAACAAATAAAAAATGAATTGAAATATATGTTGTGATGGAGAGTGGTGAGGTGGGAGGCGAGGAGAGTGGTGAGGTGGGAGGCGAAGAGAGTGGCAAGGTGGGAGGTGAGAGTGGCGAGGTGGGAGGCGAGGAGAGTGGTGAGGTGGGAGGTGAGGAGAGTGGCGAGGTGGGAGGTGAGAGTGGCGAGGTGGGAGGCGAGGAGAGTGGTGAGGTGGGAGGTGAGGAGAGTGGCGAGGTGGGAGGTGAGAGTGGCGAGGTGGGAGGCGAGGAGAGTGGTGAGGTGGGAGGTGAGAGTGGCGAGGTGGGAGGCGAGGAGAGTGGCGAGGTGGGAGGTGAGAGTGGTGAGGTGGGAGGTGAGAGTGGCGAGGTGGGAGGCGAGGAGAGTGGTGAGGTGGGAGGTGAGGAGAGTGGTGAGGTGGGAGGTGAGGAGAGTGGCGAGGTGGGAGGCGAGGAGAGTGGCGAGGCGGGAGGCGAAGACTGTGGAAAAAGGATTTAGATCACTTCATTTATCTTATAGAGGAGAAGCTGGCTGAAAATGAGAAAGGTAACCAATGGTAGAATTGAAAGCAGGCAGTAAGATTGGTCTGTCACACCCTCACTCCATTGATATTTCTATCGTGACTATTATTGTCATCCGCTTGTCTCTCACCTCCGAGTGAGAACGTTCTTGGTTCGATATTCCCCCACCCTTCCACCCCCACCCTCCCCACCCCACACACCACCCCCCACTCACACCCACAACCCCCCACACACACGCACACCCGGAGTCCTGTAGACATAGGTTGGCAAGAGCCAAGGCTTGGGGAGCCCAGAGTGTGAGTTGGGGTAACTGCTGGAGTCAAACCAGATAAAACAGCACAGATTGCCATTGATGTCTAGCAAGCTTTCCCACTGCTTGTCCAGAGAATAATAATAATAATAATCCTTGCATTTGATATAGCGCTTTTCACGTCTTCTCGGCGTCTCAAAGCGCTTCACAGTGAATTGACTCTATATTTGTGGGCGAACGCGGCAGCCAATGTCCCCACAAACAGTCATGGATTGACAATGACCAATTTATTATTGTTTTGGTTTTGGAGGGATTATTATTAGGCTCTGTGTGGAGTAAGGAAACTTGCCCAAGGTTTCGCCCTCTGCCTGGAATTGAACCCAGGTCTCTCACTTGCAAAACGAGTGCTCTAACCACTGAGCTACAGGACTCCACCCTTGTGAAATTGGGTTCAAGCGTTTGTCAGAAACCACACCGAGGATATTAATACAACGTTTTATTAACAATTATAAAACCACACAAGCCTAAGCATCACATTACACCCGACCCATTATCATTACTCAGCGCGTTTAAATGACAACTAAAGCACTATCTTAACAAGATACACTCAATACTAAAATTCTAATCATATATATAAACACGTTATTTGACATATGAAATGTGCCTAAATAAGCTTTAACTGTTTTGTATGTATGTTGGGCGCGTGTTTTAGTAAGCAGGAGAGATACTACCAAGCAGGCAGGAGATTGTAATGAAGTTCTAAAGCTGGCACATAAGTTAAACACTGTCTCTGGAGTGCTGCTGGCTGCAAACATCTCTGGCTTGCTTCTAGCTGCAAACGTCTCTTGGTTGTCCACTCCGGCAAGGGCTGAACTTGTTCTCTTTGCTGTCCACTCCAGCGAGAGCTGGACTTGTCCTCTTTCCCTCAAAGGCACTCTTCTTCCTCTCCGTTGAGGTTCATTCCCTTCCTCTCCTCGGAGGCTCCTCAGAGACTCTCCAGAGACTCTCCCAAGGCTCTTCTCAAGGCTCTTCCGAGCCTCTTCTCGAGGTTCTTCCCGCGGCTCTTCCATGGCTCTTCGCCAGTTCTTCTAACTAGTATTGGCTATCGATTTTAATACTCATACCCCTTTTTCTGTGTTCTAACTTTTTTTCATGACTTCTTTCCCGCTCTGTGCACTTTCCCAGGCATTCTTTCCCTATCTTCAAGTTGTTTCTCTTGTACCAGCTGGTAGTATCTTCTGCAAAAGAACAATACTCCTCCTATTCCATCTTATCTAACCCAAACCACCTGGATCAATGTCCCTGAAGTTTCAGTCCTTCTTTCTAACTCTGTCCATGTGACCTGCTCACTTTAAGTTTATTCTCAGTTTTAATTACCAGTTTGTTTCCCATCCATTCTCCTGGTCCAATTATCCCAGGTTCCTATCTCTCCTGCCCGTAGCTCACATGCCCTTGTAAGCGCAGATGGCCTACAACCCATCCTCTAGATCCAGCTATCCCTATCTTCCCTGGCCATGGATTACATTCCAGTGTACTCCTCCTAGCTCGGTGCCTCTTTACTAGGACTGTGTGTGTGTGCCACATGGCAGTTTTTATTTTAATTCATTCTGATTAATTCATCTATTCACTACATGATCAATACTAATGATTTTTATATATCATCCCAACTATTTACTTCCTACCAGTTACTGCCTTGCAGGGTTAACAGGCGCCGAGTGGGATGACTTCCTGCTCCCAGTGACTGGTCGGCCCTTCCAGGTCCTGACGATGAGCCTGGCTGGGCTGTGCTGTCATCAGCAGTTAATGCCCTGGGATACCGCAGACCCGCCTCGCTCAGGAACCGGGCTGCCCAGACCACCGCTGAGGGCTGGCTCGATCCTGCATTCCATTGCAAGCAGCGTGACCTTGGAGCCAGTTCACCCTGTTTACCGCCCCCCGAAAGACAGTCTCACCCGGCAAAGCCTCCATTGACAATGACAATGACAAAACACTGTTTTGTATGAAAATGTTCCAAGAATTCTTTCTTTTTATTGTCTTTCAGAATTCAAAAAGCTGAAAACAGGAAGTAAGAATAAATATGATTAATGTGAAAGTCGACATGAATAAAAGTCAAACCCAGAACAGCGGTTTAGGGAGGAACTGAGACAGGAGAACCACACAACAGGGGTTTGGAGTTGCAGCAACAATGACAACTTGCATTTATACAGCGCCCTTCACTCAGGGTAGTGTCCCAGAGCGCTTCACAGTGGCCGAGTTTGACAAGGAGCCAGGGCAAGAGGAAGGGGGAAAGGTGACCGTAAGACCGATCACACAGGGAGTTCTTTAGGCTTGAGTTGACGTGAGGAGCTAAGGGGGCAAGGAGGAGGGAATGAGGGAGAGAGTTCCAGAACAGACAATGTGAACAATTTCAGAACAAACAATGTGAAGTTATTATTTACCCAGAGCCGGGAGGTGGTTGGGGTGCGGGGGGGGGAAGTTAACCAGTGGAAGAGGTTGGTCAGGACACCAAGAGAGAGAAACTCCCTTCTCTTTTCCTGACTATGCCGCGGGAGAACTTTAACGTTTGCCTGAACAAGGCACAAACGGGATTGAGGATTACCTTCTCATCCCAAGTCTCCGACAATGCGGTGCTCCTTCCCCTCCTCTGAAGGGTCATTTTAGACTCTTTGAGTTCCGCGTCCCTGGCCTGTACGTGTTAGACTTGACCCCAGAAGCTCCTGGCTGCTTGGGTGATAGTTTTGAAATTGAGGGATCATTATTCAAAAAAAAGATAAATCGTTTCCTTGTTTTCCAGTAACTGAAGACTATTTGCGTAAGAATGATATTCATCCTATTTAATGGGAATATTTGTGATGAAACATGCCATTGATCAGGTTCTGGGTTGCGAACCCCTCAGATCTCGCTTTCATTAATCCATTAAGAAGATAAATTTCAGCTGGTGTGAGGGTCCCCAGATCGGGCTGTTTAGAAATGAGCAGCACCACTGGCTGTACGGCTGGTGAACCACATGGACAATAGAGTCTCTTTATTTTGAAACTCTGAATGATTTTAGACCCCAACCTAAATGTAAAACTAATCTAAAAATCACATTTCTGTAAATGGGGTACGCAAGTCTAACATGGCATTTAAAACAAAACTGCCACCGTGTAATTGTGAATGTCAATTGCTCAAAAATCCAGTTGCCTCGAAAAACCATCATTATTTTTACAGGTAATCAGTTGAAGAAGAAAAAGGAAGGTGGGTTAGCAATGTTACAAACCTTTTATGTTACACGATACATGAGACTGATTGTTTTTTTATTTTCCTATTCCCCCCTCCTCCATTCTGTCAGAGTGGGATACAGCAGCAACGGAGAGAGAGAAAAAGAGAGAGACAGACACAGAGAGAATACAGTGCAGGTTTACCAGGAGTCACTAGCAGGTCATTGCTATCACAATAGACTGGAGAGGTCAGACCTCTTTTACACTTGCGAAGAAATGTTAAGGGGGGGCGACCAAATCACAGGCGTTTAAAATGATAAAAGGGGTTTGAGAAGGTTAACGTGAGGAGAATATTTTTTACACAGAAAGTTGTTACGGTCTGGAACGCATTGCCTGAAAGGCTGCTGGAAAAAGATTCAATAACAACTTTCAAAAGGGAATTAGAAAAGGAAACATTTACAAGGATGTGGGGAAGGAGCGGAAAGTGGGACTGATTGGGTAGCTTTTCCAAAGAGCCGGCACAGGTACAAAGGGCCAAATGGCCTCCTTCTGTGCTGTAATATTCCATGATTATATGAACATATAGTTCCGGGGTCCTGTAGCTTAGTGGTTAGAGCACTCGCTTGGCAAGCAAGACATTCCCAGCAGGGCAAAACGTTGGGCAAGTTTCCTTACTCCACACGCCTCTGTTTACCCAGCAGTAAGTAGGAACCCGGTTGTTGGTCGATTGGCGGATCGCTTTTCTGGGGGTAATAATAACTTCAAAAAAATGATAATAAAGTGGTCACTCAATCCACAACTGTTTGTGGGTCACTGCTGTGCGCAATTGGCTGCTGCGTTTCGCCCACAAAATATACGATAAATTCACTTTTCAGTATATTCTGTGAAGCGCTTTGAGACGTCTCGAAGACGTGATAAGGCGCTGTATCAAACACAAGGATTATTATTATTATATATAGGCTGTTTCCATTGGGGGTGGGGGTGGTGGCAGGTGGGGGGATTGATATTCAAGGAACATATCCCCGCAAACGGCCATGAAGTGGGTGAATGATTGTATCTGGGGGATTGTCAGCCAGGACACGAGGAGGGGAGAGAGAGAGCGAAATAAGCTCCTTTCTCTTTTACAATAAAAATGTTTCATGGATTAATTGTTTTGTTTTATTCAGAGCTGGCTGCTTGTAAAATAGCCTTACAGGAAATGAGTGAGTATAAAGTTTGCATTTATGAGCGAAGTCGGCTACGCTGTGAGTAACTGAGACCCAACCAACCAAAGTTCAAGCATGAGAGAGAAAGAGAGGGAGTGCGCATTACATCCCAGACACGAGGAGATTCCCGTATATAGATGTCTTGTGTGGGATTGATCACGGTGACCGGGTTCCACCTCTGATAATTGCTCATAAATTGACAGTTGATTTTTACAGTGGTGGGTTATGTACCATGGAATAGAATCAGAATATTACAGCACAGAAGGAGGCCATTCGGCCCATCGTGCCTGTGCCGGCTTTTTGGAACAGCTGTTCCTTCGCTCTCTGTTTCCCCATATCCTTGTAAGTTGTTTGTTTACAAGTATCTATCCCTCTGCCCTCTCTGGTTCTTCTGAACCTGTATTTATGAGTTGCTCTAATTTTCACAGGAAAGAAAGTGTATGAAAACCTATCTGAAGCAGGTAATGTTTTATAAAAATATTTGTAATAATAATAATCTTTGCTTTCGAAACGGCACCAAGTGCTATGCAGGCTTTTAACCGAGAAGTGTAGTGACTGTGAGTTTCGAGGGCAGCCCCCCATTTTGCGCGCATCGATGACCCCGCGAAGAGCCATGAAGCGAGCGAATGAGTTTATTTGGGAGATTGTCGGCCAAACGGGTAAAGAGGGATCGAGCGGTGAGGAAGGGTAGAGGCGGGGAGTACCAGAGGATCAAGTCGCAGTGGCTGGAAGCCCGGCCACCAATGGTGGATCGGAGAGAGAGAGAGAGAGAGAGAAAAACTCGCTTCTCTTTTCAGTGCGATTGCAATCTCAAAACAAACTGAAATGTCTAATTGCTTTACAGCCAAAGAGTACTACACCAAAAAGGATGGTGCGTAAGCAGATGATTCAAAACGATGTACAAATATGAATGCTTCTTGCTTCTTGTATCACAGTTTACTGCACCAGTGTTCTGACTGAGTCCTGATACTCTTGTACGCAATTGGCTGCTGCGTTTCGCCCACAAAATCCAGTCAAATCACTTGACAGTATATTCTGTGAAGCGCTTTGAGACGTCTCGACGACGTGATAAGGCGCTGTATCAAATACGATAATTATTATTATATTTCTTATTGTATTACCTCCTCAATCCCACTTCCTTCCCCACACACTCAGCTCTACCCCCCCCTCCCCATTAGGGCCTCCTGCTTGTCTTGGGCAAGTTTCCTTACTCCACACGCCTCTGTTTACCTGGCAGTCAGTAGGAACCCAGTCATTAGTGGATTGGCCTTTCCAGGGATAATAATTAAAAATAACACAGTGTCCATGACAGTTTGTGGGACACTCACTGCTGTTCGTAATTAACAGCCGCATTTCGCCTACAAAATATACAGTCATTTCACTTTAGAGTATTTTCTGTGAAGCGCTTTGAGGTGTCTTGAAGATGTGGGAAGGAGCTACATCAAATGTAAGGATGATTATTATTTGTCCAGCTTGGGTTTTGCGGAGTCAATATATGCCGTGACGGACGGTATACAAACTCCGATTGGTGTGAAGCAACTTTTAGCAGGTGGGGTTTAGCGTGAAGCTCGGGGAAGAACGTGCGATCAACTGCGATCCTTCTCATGATTAAGTGAAATAAAAGGGAGATTCTCAGACATACTCAGGCTGAAGGCCATCACCGGATCACATCAAATTCAAGATTTGTTTTTGCTTTTCAGAATTAAAAGAATGTGCCAAGAAAATCAGGGATTTAGGTGATAAAAGACGTGTTAAATAATAATAATTAATAATCCCAATCCTCGCCAAACTCCACCCCTCCCTCCCCATCACCCCGGTCATCAGCCTCAGGCACTGTACAAATGTAATTTGTTGTTGTTGTCACAGATGATTTTGTCATTGCTGTTGTGGGAACGATAATAAAACCAGACTCTTTTATTCTCCGAGCAGAACATTTCAATACACAACAAACTGAAGGTGATGAAACGTCCTGAAGACTGCTGACACAACGCGAGCTCTGCCTGCCCATTCCTTTCAGTTTTTGAGACGCCTTAACCTTTCTCAGGCATCTCAGTTTGTGTGTCTCAGTCCTTGGTTCAGCCACATTCCCCTGAGTCAGAAGCGCCCCCCGCCCCCCCACCCCACCCTCCCAGCAACCACCCCACCCCGGTTTCCGTGGACGTGTGTCAGGTACCTGGTCTCAGCGACGGGTTTCCTGTTACGTGCAGGTCAGATACCCACACGGGCAAACCCCCCTCAAAAAATACATCCAAAGAAAGAATAAAAGAACGCATCAACTACTGATTAATGAAGCGTTTACGATTATATTTTTAACAGAGTTGATTAAGGTGACAAGCATCTTTGAAGGAAGGGGTCAGGAAAATTATCAATTATTTTCTTCTTTTAAAAGTTTTCATAATGTTGACATATATAAATACCATTTACCTACATATATATCATCAGATATTCCGCGACTGTGCCTGTTCAGGTGGACATTAGCATCCGCGGTGCTCTGTGTGCGTGTGTGTGTGTGCTCGGTCATCTGAACTGCTCCCTCTGTGGCCTACCTCCCGCACTGATTTATCCTCCTCACTCACTCTCCTCCACCACCCTTGATGCCCTGGCCTCCCCTCACCTTCCAAACCGCCTCCTACTGACGAATCTCACCCTGGCACACTCTGCTCCCTCAAGCGTCAGGTGCCCAACACACCTGACTCAAGTCTGACCTAAAGGTCCACCAGCAGATCCGGCTGAACCACATCAAAATGTACCGCTCTGCCCTCGCCTCTGCCAAATCATCCTCCAACTCCAAGATAATCTTGGAGGTGAAGGACATCCCCAGGCTCCTCTTCTCCATCACCAACAGACTCCTACGTCCACCCTCCCACGCCTCGGCCAGTCTCTCCTCAAACTCTGACTGTGAGGAGATGCTGAATTGCTTCGAGTGCAAAATTGAGTCGATCCATTCAGCTGCCTCAATCCTCCCAACCGCCACTCCCACCCCATCTCAGCCCCACACTCCCACCCCTACTTATCCCTCCCTCCACAACTTCGAATCTGTCTCTCCCTCCTCTCTCATCACCACATATCCAGCATGAAACACACCACCTGCTCCCTTGACCCGATCCCCACCCCTCTCCTAACCTCCTAGCTCCACCTCATTGCCCCTCTACTCACGACACCATCAATTTCTCCCTTTCATCTGGCACTGTTCCCATCCCCCTAAAAACAGCTTCAATCACCCCCTTCTGAAAAAACCTTCCCTGGACCCATCCCTGCCTTCTAACTACCAGCCCATCTCCAACCTCCCTTTTCGTTCAAAGGTCCTTGAAAGAGTCATTGCTTCCCAGCTTCAGTGTCAGCATCCACAGTTGCACACTACACCTCACCAAGCCAGTTAGGAACCTGCACATCTTTTTCGACCCTCAACTGTCCTTTCTCCCCCATATCCATGCCATGACTCGCTCTGCCTTCCCCCATTGTCCAACTCCGCCACTGCCTCACCCCTCAGGCCACCAAAACCCTCATACATGCATTCATCACCTCAAGGCTCAACTATGGAAACTCCCTCTTTGTTGGGCTCCCCAACTCTTCCCCCCACAAACTGCAGATCATCCAGAACTCTGCAGCTCATGTCCTCTCCCACACCAGGCTCCATGACTCCATTAACCACATCCTTCGCCCGGCTCCACTGGCTCCCTATCCCTCAGAGGATAGAATTCAAAATCCTTGTCCTCACTTTCAAGGTCATCCATGGCCTTGCCCCTCCTACATCTCTGACATGTTGACCCCTATCAACTTGCCCACTCCCTCCACTCAGCAGCCTCCAGCCTATTCCATGTCTCCCGCCTGATCAGCCCTACCATTGGGCTTTCAGCCTCTCTGTCCCCACCCTGTGGAACTCCACCCCACAGTCCTCTCACCTCGTTCCCTCTCTTGCTTCCTTCAAGGCACGACCCAAGATGTCCTTTTAGACTGTACCTTCAGCCGCCCTCCTTCCCCCTCTGCCCTCCCTCATCCTAACCCTGCCCCCCACGCTCGGGTCCTGATCACTGACTGTTCAGCGCCTTTGACGTCCTCCCAACATGAAAGGCACCTTCCAAATGTAATTTTGTTGTTGTCGTTGTTGTGTGTCCTGGCTGGCAATCCCCCACCTACAATCGCTTGCTCGCTTCGCAGCTGTTCGAGTGGACGTTCCTGTATGCAAATCGAGGATGCCCGCAAAATGAAAATCTACTACAGTGAAAATCCTGTGAACGGCTTTGAGATGTCCTCCCTCCCGACAGATTAGGTGCTGGGTCGAACTCGAGGGTTATTATTGCTATTTCTTGTGCGTTGATCATTTAATGCCCTTCGATTTCTCTAAACTATTGCTTGACTCGACAGGAAAAATAAAGAAGAAGGTTGATAAAGGTATTTCCATTGAATTGCTTTTGCAGAAATGCCATCGGTCCCGAAAGGACTCCCTCCCCACCCAGCTGCTGGTCACTCAACTCCGCCTTCTCGCCCCCCTGCTGGCCGACACAACAACAACAGCAACTTGCACTTGTATAGGGCCCTCCACGCAGGGTGGTGTCTCAGAGCGCTTAACAATGGCGGAGCCTGGCTCCAAGCCGTTGGGAGGGGGTAGGGGGCTGTAAGCACGGACAAAGAGGACATTTTTCAGGCGGGACTTGAAAGAGGGGAAAGAGGGGGCAAGGCGGAGGGATTGAGAGAGAGTGTTCCAGAATTTTGGGGTGTAGTGGCTGAAAGCGTGACCTCCGATGGTGGGGCGGAGGATGCGAGGGACGAGCAGGAGGCCGGTGCCAGTCAAGCGGAGAGGTCATGTGATGGATTGGGGAGTCAGGACATCGGAGAGGTAGGGAGGTGCCAGGGAGTGAATGGATTGAAACTACCATCCCATCTCCAATTTACCCTTCCATGCCAAAGCCTTGAACGCATTGTTGCAGGTCAACTTCAGTCACACCTCTCCCTCCACTCCCTCCTCGAGCCTCTGCTGTCTGGGTTTCGCCCCGACTGCCCACAGCACACAGAGACAGCGCTTGTCAAAGTCACAATCGACATTCTCTCTATCTGTGACCAGGGCTCCCTCTGACTCCTCGTCCTCCTGGATCGCTTAGGCGCGTTCAACACAGTCGACCAGGCCATCCTCCTCCATCACCTCTCCTCCCTCCTCACTTTACAGTGTATCCTGTGAAGTGCTTTGAGAGGTTCTCTCGAGGTGAAAAGCGCTGTGTCAAATGATGTAAGATTACTGTCATTTGCTTTTCAGAACTAAGTTTGTGTAAAGAGAGCCTGAAAGCCGTCGGTGAGGACATGTTTCGAAAAGTATTTCTAAACTCGTAATTAAATGTTGCTGTCATTTACCAGTCTGTCGAGCTTTGCGTTTCACTGGCGAGTCTGGGAGCCATTTAACACACAGTAACACGCTGGAAAATCTGACTTCTGCAGAGGAAGGGAAAGAGCCAAACAAAGAGGATGCAGCTACAGCTAAGTTTCAGAAAACTCAGAGGCTCAAACTCATAGGTAGATAAAATAAATCGCTCCACCCCCGTGTGCAAATCATTAGCCACTCTCCCCCCCCCGCCATTTTAACTATGTGACTATTGAGTCCCCGATGTATGCGTGTTGGCTGGGGTGGGGGGGGGGGAGTGGGCTTCACCTCCTGACTCGGAAGCAAGAGCTCGGAGTTGGCCAGCCTCCCCTGGCTCCCTATCACCGAAAGGATCGATTTCAAGATCCTCACACTCGTTTTCAAATCCCTCCATTGCCTGGCACCTCCCTACCCGCCCCAACCACCCCCTGCCTTCTGCATATCCCCCGTGCCCTCCATTGGTGGCTGGGTTTTTAGCCATTACGCCCCGAAACTCTGAAACTCTCTCGGTCTATCCCTCCGCCTTGCCACCTCCTTCCCCGTCTACAGCTCGCACCTGAAGCCCTTCCTATTCGATTGCGCCTATGGTCACTTTCGTGCCCCCCACCCCACCCCTCCCCACCCCCCCCCCGGGTGACTACCAACACAATGTCATGTACAGATTAACTGATTCCTTTGTTGTGTTTCTAGAAAAAGATAAGATCAATGCTCTCAGTAAGAATCACCTTCGTTTTCGTGAAATGTTTCTTTCGTTACAGCTGGGAGGTTGGTTTTTCTTTTCACCTTAAAAAAATCTTTATTTTCTTTATTCAGAAAAACAACTAACATCACTAGAGAAAGGTAGGATTGAAAGCTTTCCGTCTCTTTTCCGTGAGGCATTTAGCTTAATTTGCCCTCCTGTTACAATCTGATATGAATTGTTTCCATCAATGCTAATATTACCCTCCACCTCTTGTCGTCATTCCTCAGCGTGTATCAGTCCGTGGCTCAGCCACTCACACTCTCACCTCTGATTCAGAAGGTTGTAGGTTCAAGCCCCCACCCTCCCTCCCCCCCCCCCCCCCACACACACACACACATAGAAACATACACACACACTCACACGTCTGGGACGTGGATCTCATATACGCTAACTGACATTCCAGCGCAGTGTTGGGGGGAGGGAATTCCACATTGTCAGCGACGACGTCCTTCAGATGAGATGTTGAAACTCCCCTCCCCCACTCTCCCATCTGTGCCCTGTTCACGGCAGTCTTTAAAGATCTCCCGTGGCACTGTCTGGAAAAGGGAAGGGTGTTGTACGTCTGTCTGTCTGTGTCTGTCTGTCTGTCTGTCTGTTTGTTTGTGATAATTTTGTGCTGTGAGTTTTTTGAAGTTTGGAAGTTTTGCAAACGTACTTTTAAGGTTAATTTCAGGGAAGAAGTTGTTTTCCATTCAGTAGGTGCATTAATGTGTGTCATGAATTTGGTTATAACTTTGTGCTAATGGTTTTGAGGAAAGGAGCTTTATATTGCAAATATACAAATATATTTACATATATAATTTATTTATATTTACAAATGTACAGTCAATTCATTTTACAGTATATTCTGTGAAGCGCTTTGAGAAGTCTAGAAGACGTGAAAAACACAATATCAAATGCAAGGATTATTACCATTATAATTATTATTATTATTGCAATTTAGGTTTTAATTTTCACTTTATTTTTACTCAGTAAATTTGTATGGTTTGGTTTTCAGAGATTGAGGACTGCAAAGAGGATCAAAAAATTGGTGGTGAGACTGAAGTTCATATTTATCTAAATAATTCAACTTCACCAATAAATTATTAGTTTCAACAGCCTTGCTCAGCGGTTAGAGCGCTCGCCTCGCAAGCGAGAAAACTCCGTACGATTCCCACCAGGGTGAAACGTTAGGCAAGTTTGCTTATTCCATGTGCCTTTGTTTATCGAGCAGTAAGTAGGAACCCAGCTGTTAGTCACTTGTCAGATCGCTTTTCCGGGGATAATAATTCCTTCACAAGAAAGAAAATAATATTTTGGTCACTAAATCCAGCGCTTTGAGACGTCTCAAAGAAGTGATCAAATGCAAGGATTATTATTATAATTACATTTTTTTTGGGGGGGGCACACAATGGTAGTAGAGAAGATTTTAAAGTGAAGCTGTTAACTCCTGCCGTATAATGTCCTGTTTAATAAAATAATCCCCGTGTCTGGTACAGTGCTGGTCAGGTCGGGAGGAAGTCTTAAAGCGTTATGCAGGATTTTATTTTGAAACATGGTGTCTGCGTTCCACAGGTAGTTGGTATTTTGTGCACAGTGACATCCTCATCGTGCTCGTCATGAAGCGAGCTAGTGATTTTATCTGGGGGATTATCAGTCAGGACACCAGGGGAGAGAAAGAGGAACACTTCATCATAGAGCGCTGTGCAAATTTAAAATACAAAGCAAGTTTGCCAAGAGTGTGTGGGGGAGATTAAAGAGTGGAACAAGGTTGCACGGGGGTGGTGGGGGGGAATTAACGAGAGAAACAGGGTTACCTTGGAAAGGAGTGGTTTGAGGCTGGGACACGAGGACCAGATTAAAAAGCAGCCATGATGGGGGTGTTTTGAGGAGATAGGATCGGGATGGGGAACAAGAGAGAGAGGGGAGGCTTCTTCATCCGAACCCCGATCTTAGACTACAAGACCATAAGACGTAAGAGCAGGAGTAAGCCATTCAGCCCCTCGAGCTTGCCCCGCCATTTAATAAGATTATGGCTGATCTTGTGAGCAAAGTCTCAGAGAGGCTGTTTGTTTTCCTTCCAGATGGATCATTCCAGCCTGAAACCAATGATGGCATTCGTAAGAAAATAAAAGTTCATTCCTGTCCTACAGAGTTTAGCAGCACAATCCATTCAGTGATTGATTGCCAACATTGAGATTGGGTTCAGTTTGTTTAAATGCCTCTCACCAGTTGCCCAAATTTACAACAACAACGACATTGCGATTCGCCCACAAACTATGCAGTCAATTCACTTTACAGTATGTTCTCGAAGACTTGATATATCAAACACGAGGATTATTGTTAAGGATTGTTATTATGATGATGTAAATAGCTAGCGTAACACAGGAAGGAAGGCAGATTCCGCAGCTTCAGTGTAAAATGTCCTTGTGTACCTCTCTGATCTGCTCCCCCTCCCCTTCGCTCGGCCGGTTCAGACCTCCTGCACGTCCCTCGTCAGCTCTCTCCACTCCGCCATTGTTGGCCGTGCTTTCAGCTCTAATAATAATAATAATAATAATAATCTTTGCATTTGATATAGCGCTTTTCACGTCGGGAGGATGTCCCAAAGCGCTTCACAGAACACACTAAAGTGAATTGACTGTATATCTCTAGGCCCCGACTTTCTTGTCACTCCCTGTCCCTACCCTGCCCCACTCTTTAACCCTTTTTCACGTCCCACCTGAAGACTTTCCTCTTCGACCGCGCCCACTCTCAGCAACTGAACCCCCCCCCCAGCCCCTCCCTGTCTCGCTCTGAGACACTGTCCCTGTGTAAACACGAGCTGTGGTTGGCATTGTTTTACATGATGATTATTCCTTTTTAGAGGCTACAATTGGGGTGATATCCAGGGGTATGGCTTTGAAATACAAAATCTTCAAACTATAGATATATTCTGGCTTCTGTGGCTGTGGTTGTTCTTCAAACGCTCCAGGACCCTGTCCCGAGTGAAGGCTGCTTTGTACACGCTCGATGTTCTTGTTCCTCTTATTGAACAAGTGGTATATTTATTATATCTCCACTGTTTCCAGAGATTCAATGACAATTGAGAACTGTGTTTTATTCATTGCGTTTACAATATAAAATATCGATTGCTGTTATTAGATCAGAATTCCCACAACTCTGAAAGATTATTATCAGTCGAGGTACAATATTGCTATTTTGCTCTTACAGATTTGGCTGAATGCCAAACCAAGCTACAGGAAGCTGGTATCCCATTTACCATCACTTTCATTTTAATTTTCTTGTTATAATTACAATAATAATTATCCTCACATTTGATGTGGGGAGAACGTCTCAATAACAATAATAATAACAAAAATAATGATCATTTTAATCCTCGACAAGGCACCATTCCCATCAGGTGGATGTATCAAAGTGCATTGCGGGATTTTCACAATGAAGTGTAGTGACTGTGTGTTTCGAGGACAGCCCCTGTTTTGCGCACAGTGATGACCTGCAAACAGCCCTGAAACGGACGAGTAATTTTATCAATGATATTGTCGGTCAGGACACCGGGAAAGAGAGAGAGAGACTCCCTTCTCTTTTCCCGACAGCGCCCGTGGAGATCTTTAACGTCCGCTTGAACAGGGCGCAGAGGAGGGGAGTGAGCTTTAATGTTTAACGTGGTGTGTGGAGTGGGGGGTGTGGGTGTGGGTGGAGTAGGGTGTGTGTGTGGACGGTGTTTGTGTGTGTGGAGTGGGGTCAGGGTGTTTCTATATGGCGTGGTGTGTATGTGTGGGGGGGGGGATGTGTGTGGAGTAGGTTGTGTGTGTGAAATGGGGTGTGGGTGGGGAGTGGAGTGTGTGTGGTGTTGAGTTTGTGTGTGGGTATGTGTTTGTGGGGTGTGTGTGTAGTGGGGTGGGGTATGTTTGTGGGGTGTGCGTGTGAAGTCGGTGTGTATGGAGTGGGGTGTGTTTGTGAGGTGTGTGTGGAGTGGGTGTGTGTGCGTGTGGAATGTACTTGTGGGTGTGTGGGGGCGTGTGTGGAGTGGTGTGTGCGTGTAATGGGTGTGTGTGTTTGTGGGGTATGTGTGTAGTGTATGAGTGGGTTTGTGTGGGTGGGGGGTGTTGGGAGAGTGGGGGACAATGACTGAAATTGCAGATAAAGATGGTTTTTGAGATGGACTTTGTGGAATGAGGTGAGGGAGGGGGGAGGGAGTCTTACATAAGCTGCTCTCTTTCCCATTTATATATTGTATGATTTTTTTTTACACACAATAACTGTGAGAGGTTATATCATCACTCGGGCTCTATCATCGGGAGCAATTTTTATATAAACCAAGTGTTTATGTGTCATTTTTACAGAGGATCTGAAAATTAAACAAACTGCAGGTTTGTTCAGTGTTAGTGAAAGCTGCTTCCAATGGTCTGTGCATGTTTTTAACATCCCTTTAACAAGCCTTCACGAGCCTCACAAAGCAAACCCCCGTTACCAGCTGTAAAAGAGACTAAGCGCAACAACAACTTGCTATATAGCACCCTCCACACAGGGCAGTGCCCCAGAGCGCTTAACATCGGGCTCCGAGCCCGATGTCAAAAAGGGGGTGTTATGCAGCATAGCCGAAAGCTCAAAGATTCCTCTTTATTCCTCTTTATTTCCTCTCTTTTTTTCCTCAGAGTTGGAGAAATTGAAACTGGATTTCGAGACAACAGGCAAGGAAACAAATCACTGCCTTTCTATTCTTTCAAAACAGAAAGAAAAAAAAACGAACACGTTTCTGTTTGCTAACGTAAAGGACACATCGTGGGGCGACAGAGAATCACTTTTAACCAACTGTGAAAACAGTCTGCTTTTCCTGATCAGTAAAAGTAACCGTTAATATTTAAAAGGTATAGAATCATCGAATTATACAGCACAAAAGGAGGCCATTCAGCCCATCGTGTCTGTGCCGCTCTTTGAAAAGAGCTTCCAAATCAACCCCACTCCCCCCGCTCTCTCCCCATAGCCCTGATCAACCCCTCTCCCCCGCTCTCTCCCCATAGCCCTGATCAACCCCACTCCCCCACTCTCTCCCCATAGCTCTGATCAACCCCACTCCCCCACTCTCTCCCCATAGCCCTGATCAACCCCACTCCCCCGCTCTCTCCCCATAGCCCTGATCAACCCCACTCCCCCATTCTCTCCCCATAGCCCTGATCAACCCCACTCCCCCGCTCTCTCCCCATAGCCCTGATCAACCCCACTCCCCCAATCTCTCCCCATAGCTCTGATCAACCCCACTCCCCCACTCTCTCCCCATAGCCCTGATCAACCCCACTCCCCCGCTCTCTCCCCATAGCCCTGATCAACCCCACTCCCCCATTCTCTCCTCATAGCCCTGAACAACCTCACTCCCCGCGCTCTCCCCATAGCCCTGATCAACCCCACTCCCCCGCTCTCTCCCCATAGCACTGATCAACCCCACTCCCCCGCTCTCTCCCCATAGCCCTGATCAACCCCACTCCCCCGCTCTCTCCCCATAGCCCTGATCAACCCCACTCCCCCACTCCCTCCCCATAGCCCTGATCAACCCCACTCCCCCGCTCTCTCCCCATAGCCCTGATCAACCCCACTCCCCCACTCCCTCCCCATAGCACTGATCAACCCCACTCCCCCGCTCTCTCCCCATAGCCCTGATCAACCCCACTCCCCTGCTTTCTAAAATTGTCTAACGATGTTGAGTAAAAGCAATAATCACATATTAATTGACGAATTTCAACTGCCAAAAAACCCTTTTTGTTTGTTAACGTAATAACAGATGTAACCAGCTTCAAAAATAATTGAGAACATTTTAGTCCACTAAAATAGTTTCTTTATTGGCTTTCTTTGTTTATCTCAGTAAATGGTAATTGTTGGTTCAATCGACAGAGGCGGCAATAGAAGCCAAAGAACAAGGTCATTAAATCCACCCTGCGGCCCCGAATTCTCCTGATTCCTTATGCTTTTTCTGTCTTTAGTAGTGACAGCCACTCGCACTCCACTTCCCAGTCAACAGCAACAACAAATGACATGTGTACAGCACCATTCACGTCAGGAAGACGACCCAAGTCGCTGGACAAGTGCATCCGCACCCGAGCTGGTGGTTGGGATCAGGAGCGGTGGAGGGGGGGAGGTTAGGGGTAAGAGGGTGACTGGGCGAAGAAAGAAAGAGAGATTTGTGAAGAAGATATAATAACAGCAAGTGCAAATAAACCATTTAGTTAATGATTTGGCACTGCAGATTATAAATAGACACAATATTTATTGATATGACGCATTTTATTTTTATACCGAGTAACCCACCAAACCTTTACCAGAAAAATGCTCCAATGCTGTGTGGGAGGGAGGGAGCTCCGCATTGTCAGACGGTGTCTCTTGGTTGAGACGTTAAACCTCACTCCCCCACCGACCTCTCCCCCCGCCCACCCCCCGCTCCTCGCCTGTGCCCTGTTCAGGTGGATGTTAAACATCTCCTGCAGGGCTGCTTGAAAAGAGAAGAGACTTTCTCTTTCTCTCCCAGTATCCTGGGCAACAATCCCCCAGGGAAAATCACTCGCTCCCTTCATGACAGTTTACGGCAACATCGCTGTGCACAAAAAATGCACAGTCTCTACACGCCACGGTGAAACACCTGCAGTGCTCTTTGAGACGTCCTCTCGACTGGATAATGCTCTGTATCGAATGCCAGGATTATTATTATTATTATTGTTGCTGCTGTTGTTATTTTTGGCTATGATCCTCGGTCGCCTCCTTTTCAACCTCTACATGCTCCCCCTTGGTGACATCATCTGCAGACATGGGGTCAACTTCCACATGTATGAGCGTGACACCCAACTCTGTTCGTGTCCTGATCCCCGACTGTCCAGCGCCTTGGGACGTCTTGCAGATGTAAAAAGGCGCTTTACAAATGTAATTGTGTTGTTGTTGGCTTCCAGAACTGATCAAGTGTCATGAAGAGCTAAAAGATTCAGTTCGCAAAGGTATGAAGTGTTTTGAGCAGAATAATTGGTGACGTGATAAATAACACATACCGCAGAATGTGGACATATTGAAGGTATAGGTTTACGATTGCGAGATGTTTTAATTACGTTACAGAGAAGTGGGTTGATCAAAACAAAATATGATATTGCAGTCGCTCGTGCTCCAGGAGCCTCTCAGTCAGAATATTGTTGGTCCGAGATCCACCCCCAACACCAA